ACAGGTATCGTACATGGCCTATTAAAGGAATATAGACCAATGTCCTGACTCTAATCTCTTAAACTGACAGTTCTCTATCATGTATACATTTTGCGAATACTAACTTAAGAAATAGTGTCCACAAGTTCGTGATTTGATTCTATGCTACTCAAACTTTTGTAAGTAGCAATAAACGGAAAACAAAAAAACCCAAACTCGCATTTTTTTCTCCATTAGAATTTCTAAATGAATTTTTCAGGTTTTTGTGTCAGACATGAAAAGGACGCAAACTAATTTTTCATCTGAATCCACCCATTTCGTGAAATGGATTGGTCAAGACTGCACCTGTAGTTCAACACAGAGTGTATTTGTAGTATTTCAAAGGTGATATTGCCGCATTGATTCAGTAGATCAGTCGAAAGGATATTCATTACAGCGAAACAATTTGTCAGCTTCTCAACCGAACCATTAGTGACACAGACATCAAACCAAGGATAGGTTACTAATAATGGCTACTTCTGCTGCATTTATGAGTTCAACTGCCTCTGTGGTGCTAGTTACACAGACGGTACGCAAAAATCTCCATCCATGGGTGCGCGTGAAAATGTATCAGCTTGGTTAGGGAAAGGAATAAAAAAGGCATTAACGGTCCAGTCCTCTCACGTCTAGTAGATACCGGACATCAGATGGAAGCAGATCGCGCCTTTTCTGTGATATGTCGTATCCTTTGCAATCTTCTCAAAGGTGAACGACTTCACATCTTATCCATAGACGAAACCATAGGTATCACAACAAAAGAAGACATGATCTATATGTTCAACAGTAATATTTACAACCACTTTGTTTTCCTTGATCCACAACAGGGTGGACACGTTCTCAATGAATTTCCCTCTCCTCAAATTGCACATTTTAATCTCCCATCCCTTTCTTCGATATTGTCGTTACTCTGGTAACTATTCATTTTCTTATATTGTTAGTTTAACGGCCTTCTTTACCCATACTACAACCGTAGTCATTTTCAGCCATCATTATAACACTTCAATTCTGTTATTCTCTATTTCCTGCATAGTATTTACATGATATTCACCCCCATTTGAATATCAGTCATCATTACATAATTATTGTATAACCCTTTGGTAAACAAACCCACACGTTCATCACCAAGTAATTGTATAGAAATGAATCATGAATCTGTAGATTTTGTCTCATCATTTCGTAATTGTTCTGTCAATAGTGATTTCATTGCACAACTAACACACTAGACTGATTATCATTCCATCATTTCAGTTTCTTTTAATCTCCATTCACGCATCATAACATTGACTTCGTAGCTCGATTAGTAGGGTATCCAACCAGAGACCTGTTTATTCGTTTTTTCATTGATATTTTCTTGCACACTTTTGTTAATTGATTCAACTTGAAATGTTTAAAGTTTGTGTCGGTTTCTATGCTGAAGTGTCTATCAAAAGATACAACATTATTGCTAACAAACAAACTTTGAAATGACAGTTGACTAACATTTATACTGGGTGATGATTGAAGATGAAATGAAAATTTGGTCAACGTCCGGTTTATAACCAGCAACTAACGTGTCTCCAACTCACAGATGTACTATTTAACCTACGAAACCGGATGGTCCCTGGTTCGAATCCCTCAGCAGCTCAACTTATCTTTTCCCCACTCAAACATTGTCCTGTATGAATACTAACTAATCTAGCAAACCATGTCTATCTCACAGAGTCAAAATGATACCTTTATTTAATGATGTACTAGTTACATTTCAGTCTATTAATATGAATCATACTTTATAACTTCTGGTTGGAGATAAGAATTCAACTGTGTTACATACTGTTTAGGCTTCGTCATTATCTACTCAACTCGAAATATTTCATTCATTTAATGAAGATAAAGTAGTGAATGAGTGGAGTAAAGATGTTCAACTGATGAACAATAATTTTTTTTTCTACTTGATTTGTGTATATATTACTCAACGTGATATAGATTCAGCATGGATACACTGACTATATTACACCTAGATTGATTTTGATAATTGAGAGATTATACTTCAGTATAATCCATATTATTATTATTATTATTAGTCCCTTGGGTTCCTAGTGGAACATAGGGCTTCAGTAGCACGCCTCCAGTGACCTCTGTTCTCTGAGATCTTTTGAACCTGGTCCCACGACAGCCCACAAGCTCTCATTTCCTCCTCGCACGACCTCCTCCATGTCACCCTCGGACGTCCAACTCGTCGCTTCCCATGGGGATTCCACTCGAGCAACTGGCCTGACGCGTGATGTCCCCAGTCGGCCTTCTCAGTGCATGCCACTTCAATCCATCTCCACTTCTTCCTGCATGTTTGTTGCGTGATAGGTTCTTGGTTGGTTCGTTCCCAGAGCTCCTTGTTGCTTATTCTTTCTGGCAATCCATCTGATCTTCAGTAGCGAGCGTAAGCAGTTGTTGATGAATGTATAATCCATATAGGAATATGAAAATATATTTGGTTATTTGTAGTTTACTATGCAAATTACATGCATTTTCAGCGTAATAATAATAATAATTAGAATTTTATTCTATTTATTTAAAGTAGAAAACCGAAATGTTGTGTCAGAATATTCTATCTATCTTGATAATTAACTTATATGGATTATATGGAGAGTATTTATCAGTTTGAGTTGACCTGATGATGACGACCAATAATGATGATGATGATGATGATGATGATAATTGTTAGAATGAAAGTCAACTGTGTAATTTCTTCTTCTTCTTCTTCTTCATGTCTTCTTCATAGATAACTTATCACTCACTCATTGAAATGCAATCCCACTTTAATCGGTTTATTAGAAATATAACACAGTCGAACAGTATCATTTACTGTATAACCTTTCAGATATAATTTATTGTCGATATCAGGTTGATATCAGGTAACTGTACAACTTGAAGAGACAGAGTTTATATATTCATAATCTTCTCTCCTATTCTGTAATGACAAGAGTAGTAGAATTTTCAATATATCTCGGACAGGTGTAGAATCATTTCTATTACTGCATAGATTTGGTGTTGATTCAATGAGTGCAGATTGAGTGATCAATCTCTTCATCTACCTACTTGAACTTCAAATCATCTCACCCCATTTTAGTTAAACTAGGCTTAGTTAAATGCCTAAGTAATAGGGGAAGACCACGGCCGGTACAAATGAGGATGTCAAAGCCAGGATTGAAAAGACTGCAAGACAGCGCTTTCTTCATTGATTTGAATTCACTGTGGATATCTACTCCACTCCATTGCACTACACTTCACTGCATTCAGCATATAGCTTGAACACGATCCAGATTCTCAACACTAATGTCAGTCAAGTCAGTGCTTCTATGCGATGGTTGAGAGAGTTGGCGGTCCGTTACGAAAAATATTTTCAACAAACTACAGACATTCATGAACAGCTATTGCCTACGCTCACTAGATACTGACACTGAAAATCAGATGGATGGTCAGAATCATAAAAATTAGTAACAAGGAACTCGCTCTGGTATGGAAACGAACCAACCAAGAACCCATCACCCAACAAATATGTAGGAGAAAGTGGAGATGGATTGGACTGGATTTGATTAGACATACACTGAAAAGAGACTGAAATGGAGACGTGCTGTTGAATCCCCATGTTTGACTAGGAATCTAAGGGACAAATAATAATAATAATTGGACTGTCTATGACACCCTTATTCGACAAACTGATCTTCAAGTACAGGGGAAAACTATTGTATTCCAGAGATGACTCGAGTAATAACAGGAGCTCAATCAGCGATATTTCGACTGCTAGCTGCTAAGTTCCTCAACTTCAACTAAGATTAACAAGGTATTTTTGGCACTTAAACTAGACAAATTGATGAAACTGCACTTATTCAAACATACGTGTTAAATAGGCATACTGATGTGGGGATAGAGAGAAAGTATTAGTGTGGAGAGCGACTAATCAAAATGTTTTTTATGCTATAAAGTCTATAATCAAACAGCTAGTGATTATTTTAAACTTTGAACTATCAATGTATTAAATATATTTTCGTTTGTTCTTCTCTTCGGTCTTTCAACACCAGTACATGTTGCTACACTTCCATCGTGTGTTCTCCATTAGTTAGTGGGGACGGAATCAACTAGGAATTTGATGAGTGTTGGTAATTGACAGTCGATATCCATGCATTGTTAATGAGTATAGTAGGTTTTGAATCATAACACATAAAGATTCAGAATTTATCAAAGAGGCAATGGGAACCTAACCACCAATCATCACCTCATGGTTTTAATATACACGTGACCTACTGTCATTTTTGAGATAACCGCAGTACTCCAGTTAGTGTAGATGAAAATTTTAATGTAGCTACATGGAGTATGTGAATGACATAAGTTAGAAAAGTGATTAATGGAAAGGATGAATACCAGCCTGAATATAACGAATAAATTCCCACAAAAGTCAAAACTGAATTATTCGAATGCTCATTTGTGACTAGTTTCTAGGGGTGATTCCAGAAGTCCTAATGAGACGTTGTGACCAGTAAGGCCAACGAAGTCGAACATACAGACAACCACTGGACGACGGCACTGGATGGAGGTGGTGCTGTATCGTGTGGTGATAGGAAATATGCATCACTGAATTCCAACCCATTGATTCGATAGTTACGTGCTTCACAGGGAACTTGAAAGTCGTAGGTTGGATCCTTGGCGAGACCGTGGGTACGCACTGCTAACTTGCCTTATAATCGGGCGAAACATCTATCAAGTACTCGCAGGTCTCCAATGTTTCTCCAATTGATGTCAGTTCATGATGAAAATCCACCTGAAATTAATAGAAAGTTATCAGTAAAATATTTGTTGGTTAGAAAATAAATTTTTCAGATATGCCAAACCCATCTGCATTACAAGTTCACTTTGTCTGGTTACATTCCCCTATGGAATGTCAAAAAACTATCAGTATAATTCATATTTATTACAAATTTTAATGTTTAAAAATGTATTGATTACAGTTAGGGAAATAAAAGGAAGTTTATTTGATGCGTTCATGTTTAATTAAGCATTCAACAATACATCGAAACCGTCCTGCTTTACTAAATGCTCGTGCAGCTGATCCAATTGATGCTGCAGGATTCAATGATAATTTAATTGGAGATATTTTAGCTGCTCCTTGAAGTGCTGATTGTTGATCTGTTGTAGTAATCGATAATGGATTACGATTACCTCCTTTCCAAGTACTCCATATACGAATTTGACCGTCAGCACTTGCAGATATATACTATAAACATGGAATATAGAAATTAATTGAAATTGTTATATTATACATTCAACAACTATCTCATTGTTATTAACAGTATCAATTGACATGAATTCTCACATTTTATTAGAAGATCATAAGCTGCATTGAAGGAAGAAACATGAATACTGTAGCTTTCAAATGAAGTCATCTTTAAGATATCAGATATAATCCAGTGTAAACGTGGTTCAATAAAATACTCTTTGAATGGTACCTATCGCATCTGTATATCAGATATGATGGATGAAGATATCAAATAACTGACCGAAAAACACTTATGGAAAACGGGTATCCATGGAAGTTTATAAACTGTTGTAAGTAGCAGTAAAGCTAAGTGTTTGTACAGTCCCTGAGAAAACCCTCCATATCACTCACTCTGTTACATCGACAGGAGTTGAATAAAACTTTGGTGACGCAAGTTAACATCAACCATTGGGAAAATTTTTTTTGCAGCTGATCTTTTGGGAAAACCAAAGCACATCATCCGCCATAAACCTAACTACGGTATCATTAACGATTACGTCACATCTCATTGTGTTTATCAGTTTACATGTAAGTATAGTCACACGTACATAGGAAAGAGTAATCGAGCCATGTATTTAAATGACTTCAAAAACAAATGGAATGTGAAACTGTGATAAACGTTGGTGGGAGACAACCCTCTTCATTCACAGCTAAACATATCATACAAACAGTCAGTTAGGGAGGTATTCTGAGATTTAAGGAAGCCATAATCATAAAGGAATTGAAACCACCTTTATGTGTACAAAACAGTTTGTTCGTGTACAGTTTACCTACCCTTGGTAAACTTTGTTTTCTTACCAAGATTATAATCCACTATGTCACCTCCAGTTTGTTCTCAACTTTCTTAATTTTAATCCCCTATTGTGTTAACTGTTGTATTTGTCCTCCCACTTTTCGGTTTTATATGTGTGATCAGATTGTTTGAAATGTCTTGCGCAACTACATTAAGCAGTTTGTTCAGGTAAACTTCGTCTTCTAATCAAACTATTGAAATTCTTATCAGTGTTTCTGTAATTATAAATTTGGAATGGTACAGAATAAAATACGGCACATTTGAGTCGAATCCCTTTTCAAAATAGAATGAGAATTAAGGGCTGTAAGGATATCGATTCTGCATTTGAAATTTATCAATATTAGGATGACTTCTTTAGAAATGAAGAATTAGATGGTAAATGAAAAGACAAGAACTATGGAAGATGGGATTAGGCTTTAGTTTATTGAAGACCAAGGTAAGAATAAACCGTGACCTTGTTCTTTCTGCATTCAAAGTTCATGTCAAATTTGTCTTCTTGAAACAGTCTCAGCTATACTGAGCAGGTGATGGTGAACTACATTTAGTATTGTTTTCAGTACACAATATATGAGATTGTGTGACGAGGCAATCGGTGACCATCTCAGTCGATGAATGTTCATAACCTCGTCAAATGATTTACCTCTTCTCCCTAAAACTTTATACCTGACTTCTGTGTTACTCACGTGATGCGGTGACACCACGGAATACGACCTATACTACGAAGGCAACGGTGGTCAAACACCTGAAGCCTTCTCATATCTTCCACCTTCAATAACCATGTTTCACAGCCATATAGTAGAATTGAACTGACCACTGTGCAGTATACTCAACCCTTAGTAGACAATCGGATACCACTGTGGCGTACATTTGCGAAAGCCTATCGAGCCTTTTGTATAGATTGGCATCTATGCGATACCCTGTGCTTACTAGGTATGCAAAGACAGAACTTATCATTACTTTGACTTCAACTTCTGTAAAGCAAGTCAGCGAATGTTCTCGTATCCGGAGACGGTTTTTAATTTATTCTGTGGATATCTTTAAATGTTTAATATCCTTTAATTTCAGAAAGGTTAGTTCGAAGTTTACTTTCAATAAAATGAACTAGCAGAAAAGGTATTTGAATAGTTTTTCATCAAAAATGATACTTCGCTTATGCGTAAACTGGATTAGCAGTTACAACACACTACAGACATGTATGCCTATGTAATCTACTACATCAACTTACTTCATCATCTTCAGGTAGTATGATGATAGATCTTATTATATCTTGATGACCTTTATAATTTCGATAAACATGACCAGTTTGTGGATCATAAATCCTGAAATTACAAAACATAAAGAGCAGTCAGTAAATATTTCACTATTTTTTGGCCTTACAATATTTTTTTCATTGATTATCTTACCAATGATTTACTGTTTACTTGATATCAAGTGAGTGGAATAGTAATTCATTGGTTTATGGAGGTGATTTCCAATCAATAGATCACTGGTTCGAGTCCTGCTTCACCTTTCGAGGTCTAAGCAATAAGGCTTCACACCAATACATGTGGATGATTCCCCCTTCGGAAAAAACTAAAGGAAGTAGCCCCTTCCACCGACCTACAGGCAAGGGCGGCAGCACAAATGAGGATATCAAAGCCAGGATCGAAAAGACAGCAAGACAGGCTTCCATTAATCTGAAATCAGTGTGGGGATCTACTCCACTCCACTGCACTCCCTTCCACTCAGCATAAAGCGTGAACAAGATTCGGATTTTCAACACTAATGTCAGTCAAGTCAGTGCTTCTATTTGATGGTAAGGAGAATTGGCGGCGCGTTAAGAAAAGCATTTCCAACAAACAACTGTAGACATACATCACATCAACAGCTGCCGACTACGCTGACTTGATAGTGATACTGACACTGAAGATTAGACAGATGGCCAGAATAATAAGAATTAGCAACAAGCAACTCAGTCTGGCTGGCAGCGAACCGACCAACAACCCATCGCCCAACAGATTTGCAGTAGAAAGTAGAGACGGATTAGACTGGATTTGATTGGACGTACACTGAGAAGATCGGTTGGGGATATCATGCGGCATGACAGGCTAGTCCCTCGAGTGGAACCGGCATGCGAAACGACGAGTTGGGTGTTCGAGGGTGATCGGAGGATGAGGCGGTGTGAAGGAGAAATGAAAACTTATCGGCAGTCTTGGAGCCAAGTTGCGAAGACTGCAGAGAGAAGCGAATGAAATGGAGACGTGCTACTGAGGCCCTATGTTTGTCTAGGAACTCAAGATACAAATAATAATAGTAAACCGTTTCTGTCTGACATTGCTACATACTTGCTAATGAAAATAACCGTAGATACGTTCAAATTTGCGTGAATCAATTAACTTCTAAAAGAATACTTGGTTGACTTGGGGTACGCAGATGACATTGTCCTGTCAGAAGATCAACCATGGCCAAACCAAGACATTTATCCAGTTCATGAAGTATTTGTCTGTTGATCTGAGTTAAGTAGGAAGGTGTGTACTGCCTTGCTGAGATCCAAGAGATAACAGAAACCAATGATTGGAGACCACTGCTAATATGGTTGAAAATCGATCACAGTGGCGCAGATGGATTCAGTCCTCGACATAGTCGAAATCTGGAAAATTTTTGGCAAATTTCAATTTTAATTTTCTCTCTTCCCCTAGACATTCTTCCACCTTATTATCACTTTTTCTACACATTTCCTACTTGAACTCTTCTGTGAAGTATAACAGATGGATATGAAACACATTTTGTCAAATTCTACATTGTTTTAATCTTTCTGGCTGTCTTTAAGATTATTATGTGTGTATACACAAGTACTGCCTAGAAGGATTCTTCACTGTGCAGTACAGTAATTAATGATAAGCAAAAAGTTTAAAATATCATTCCCAATCAAAATATTTATAAGGTTATGTATCCTCATTCAATGATAAATATAATAAACTGACTTAATCTCTTTATCAACTCCTGACAAAAGGATATTACGCTTCATATCCATACACAGACATGTGATTGGACCATTTGCATTAAGCGTCATTCGGCATATCGCCTCTTCATTGGTTGTTCTCTAAATAAATGGAAACATTGAATAAAATTGTAACTGTTTACTTTACAAGAAAGAAATAAAAATTCTAAATGATAGATGGCTTTCACCCATGATCTTCCCGATTGTGATGAACTGGATCATGCAACAGACAGCGAAAAGCGAGAAGAGGAGGATACGCTGGACCGGGTAAAATATCCTATAAGATTTGAATTTTGCCACCGCCAGCATCAACAACATCCGGATTTTCAACATCAATCCAGTCAAGTCAGTGCTTCTATGCGATGGTTCAGAGACTTGGCGAGTTATGTAAAGCATTTCCAACAAACTACAGATATTCACCAACAACTGTCTGCGCTGACTTGATACTGAAGCTCAGATAGATTGCCAGAAAGAATGAGCAACATGGAACTCACTGTGGCTGGTAACGAATTAACCAACAACCTATCACTCAACAAATATGGAGGAGGAAGTGGAGATGGATTGGGAATACACTCAGAAGACCGATTGGGAACATCACGCACCAGGTCAGGTACTCGAGTGGAACCTAAATGGGAAACGGTGAGTTGGGCGTCCGAGACTAGAGCGACATGGAGGAGATGATGTGAGGAAGAAATGAGAGCTTATGGGTAGTCGTGGCGACAGGTTTTGAAGATTTCAGAGAATAGAGTGGGATGGAGATGTGCTACTGAAGCCGTATGTTCCATTAGGAACTCAAGGGACAAATAATGATAATAATAATAATAAAATATTAAAAAAAAAATTGCATATCTGAATGATGAACAAACAAAGTAAACAACAGAAATGTTTAAAGTTGTAGATTCTTATTTAATGGATGTCCCACTACTAAGGTTCCTTTCACTTTAGTATTCATCATGGACTGGCACCAGTTGGAGCAGTATTGCAGACCTGGGAGCACTGGACAGCTGTTTCGTCCTACTATGGGACTCTTCAGTAGCGCGCACCCTTGACCCCACTCCACCAGGGGTCGAACCGGTGACCTTCAAATTCTGTGGCCAGCACGGTATCACTGAACAACTGGGTTGAAGTCCAGTTGTCCATGTTTCTAACTTTTGGCAGTACACTACAAAGCTTGACCACTACTCAGAGAAAAAAGTCTCTAAATCCCCACCTACAAATTCAATTAAGTTTCTTTTCAGTTTAATATATTCATGTTGAAAATTGCTAATGGCGTTGATATTATTTCCAAGTAATTTTGTGCATTGACAAAAGCCAGTCTCGCCAGTATAGGTTTGCTACGAGTTAAGTGTCAAGTGTCAAAATCTGAAAACACACAACTTTGTCTTTGATAATAAAATGGTCTCACTGATTATCAATGAAACTGTTATTGTCCTTAATTCAGAAGAAAGTGGCCATTATAAATAAAAATATCTTCATTGCAGTATATCAATGGGTATAGACTGAAGATATACCTGAGGAAAATCCGTTGAATTAAACCAGGAGCAATATTTTAAGATGCTAAAAGTTAATTGTAAAAATGTTTGATTTGTAAATTATATTTTTATTTTCATACAAAATGTTAAAACTATGCTACTGAGATTACCTTAAGGGATACTTTAGATGCAGCTACTGTCTTGCATCATAACATTGTTTCTAGTCTTGACATAGGTGTTAAGTATGCCCGTTGTGCCTTTTTGGATTACTCATCAGCCTTTGACTCTGTGTTCCTAGACCACTTTTGTTAAATAAGCTTACCATAGCTTACACTGATCCATGAGTTATAAAATGGCTGCATTCTTATTTTCTTGAAAGGAAACAGTACACTGTTCATAAAGGGATGCACACCACTTCATTGTCTACTGAAGCCATTGTGCCTCAAGGTGCTGTACTTTCTCCTTTTCTGTTTTCCTTCTTTTTGTATGATTTGTCTTATTCTGTTGAAACTAATTTTATCAAGTATGCTGACGACCTGAGGATTTCTATTCCAATAAACTCTTCTATGGATTGCTCGGAATTAAATGAATTCTTGTCTGAAGTTGGCAAATGGTCTCAAACTAAACCCCTTTAAATGTCAGACCATTAATTTTAGCCTCAGGCGTAAACAAGACTTATGTAAGCTGCTTAAATCTCATGACGCCTGCTGTATCAATCGTATTTCTGCAGAAAGTAAATCGAGTATGAACCATCTTGGGTTGGGTTTAACTTTTGTCCTTTGTTGGTCATCCTGTATTTTGCTGACTTGTAAAAAATTCTTATTATTATTATTACGTAAAGAAATTGAGGCTTTCTGGCATAACTGAACTGCTTCTTTTACAATTTATTAATTCCTGCATTTTACCTATTCCTCCTCTCTGTTGTTACCCATTAATCTTTTCTGGTCTTCTTAAAAAGAACTATGTTGTGTGTTGCGTTGGGCTTTGAAGGCTGTCAGCAGGGTGAGTGGTGTGCTTCTCACTCAATTGATTAACAGTGCACTTCATAGACACATAAATTTCTGCAACCAACTACCTACAGAAATTTTAAGTGACAGTGAGCATCCACTTCATCATTCACAGCTCTCTCTATCTCCTCATAGAAGACAAGGAGAAACTACATAAGACAACTACATCCTCGTACAGCTAAGTATAAGAATTCGACTGTACTTTACCTGGCACACATATTTCGTGAGAAGAAAGTGTGTTACAACACAAATCACACATCAACTTTGTAACAGTTAAAAATCCTATTTGAATAATTCAACTAACAATGTGAAATTTTCTCGTTTTTAATATTCTTCATATAACTTCAATGTTTATCATAAAACAATTTGAACTAAAAGAAAAAGTCTAAAAGTCATATTCTATCTACCCTGTGGTTACATGAAATAGGAAATATTTCATTAAAACAAAATGCTTACCCATATACGAATAGTACAATCATCAGATCCAGATATCCATTCACTTTGATTACTATTGTCTACACTAGATGGTTTATAAATAATACAATTCACTGGTCCATTATGTCCAATCAATTTATTCTGTAGATACATTTCATTTCCATTCAAAGAGAATTTTCTCACATAGATAAGCCAATCAGAGCAACAATAGGCAAAAGTACTACTATATTGTTGTTTTTTTCGTTATGAAACAGAAAGAAAAACAAAGTAAATAAATTTCTAATATTAATCAGTCATATTTTTAAGGCTATCAAATGGGTAACATTATTATTATTATATATTTATAATTTGTCCCTTGGGTCCTAATGGAACATACGGCTTCAGTAGCACGTCTCCATTTCACTCTATTCTCTGAAGTCTTTAAAACCTGTCGCCACGACTGCCCATAAGCTCTCATTTCTTCCTCACACCATCTCCTCCATGTCGCCCTAGTCTCAGACGCCCAACTCACCGTTTCCCATCTAGGTTCCACTCGAGTACCTGACTTGGCGTGTGATGTTTCCAGTCGGTCTTCTGAGTATATTCCCAATCCATCTCCACTTCCTCCTCCATATTTGTTGAGTGATAGGTTGTTGGTTGTTTCCCTAAAAGCCAAAGTTCCTTGTTCCTTATTATTATTATTCTGGCTATCTGATCTTCAGTGTCAGTATTAAGCCAGCTTAGGCGACAGCTGTTAGTGAATATATGTAGTGTGTTTGAAGTGCTAGTCGAACCGCTCCGAGTTTCTGAGCCATATAGGAGCATTGACTTGACACAGGTGTTGAAAATCTGGATCTTGTTGTTTTTGCTGTGTGGAGTACAGTAGATCTCCACACTGATTTCAGATTACTGAAAGCCTGTTTTGCTTTTCCAATCCTGGTTTTGACATACTCATCTGTGCCACCTGTAGTTGAAACGCTGCTGCCTAGGTAAGTGAAGGAGAATTGTTCCTTTAGGCTTTTCCCGTTAACGGTGATTGGTGCTTGTTTTTGATACCGTTGTTGGTTGGGTATCTTCATCACCTCCATCTTCTCTACATTTACTTGAAGTCCTGTTTTCTCTGCCTCTTCGGTCAACTTGCTAGTTTTCACCAGTAGGTCTTCGATTTTGTGTGATATTAAACATAAGTCGTCGTCGAAATTCAAATCTTTGAGGCTTCTTTCATCGGTCCAGTGAACAATATTGTTTTCAGTTAGATCCTCTTCAGGCTTTACTTGTCAGTTGTTTTAAAATAATGATTGTGATAATAATACAAATAATAAGAGTGATAACATTGACTAAAGCACTTGCAATATAGAGGAGAATGATTAGAAGAACCAAAAAAGCAGAATGAAAATGTAGACACTTTGGTGATATTTCAAGTTGTTATTCATCGAAGACTGACATCAGTTGGAGGAACAAAGGAAACCTGGGAGCACTGGACAGCTGTTTCGTCCTAGTATGGGACTCCTCAGCAGTGCGCACCCACGACCCCACCAGCAGGGATCGAACCCGCGACCTTCAGGTTCCGCGACCAGCGCGTTACCATTGAGCCACTGGGTCAGAATCCAATGCTCCATATTTCCAACTTCTGTTAGCTCACTTTGGTGATAATCAAAATGGGTCAAAAGCTTGTGAAAATAAAAGTTACGTAATAGTGAAGGGCTAGGTAAGTGGATAAACAAAGTCTAAACACATATAGTAAGTACATGAAAGTGAGAAAGTTATATAGAGCGTACTACTACACAACTTAACAAACATGTTGCTGAGTATCTTACCTTATTGGTTAGGGAAAGGGATAGATAAGATCCATTGGAAGTTCAGTTTTATCTCACCTCTTTGACAGTGCTAACTCGGTAGATAAGAACAATGCTTTCACTATTGTTCTCCACATACCATCTTATCTTTAAAAAGGTATGCGAACTTGTCTTTTACACATAGCAGAAGCTGCGGGAATTTGAGCTAATAACCCTAGTCTTTGTATCCGGAAGAAGTTTGTACATCCCTTATCTCTGTCTTGGTCAGGGAATACTTAATTATTAACTTCATTATTGAATTTCTTATTCGTTACTCTTTGTATATAATAACTATGTCTGTTTAGACTTTATTTATCGAATTATCTCGTCCTTCAGTATTACGTAACTTTTATTTTCCAAGGACTCTGTAGTTAACGACGCACGGGATAGACATCTCCTAATATAGCTGCATTTTCATGTAATCCAATGATGTCTAACAAAAGCATGGTGGAACATAAAGCTACATCACTTAACTCAGTGGCCACATTGTAAAACCTGATCTATGAACATCGAACAGTGCTGCACTCTAAGAACCAGGTAGCTACGTCGGCAACCCGATGGTCACCAATTCGTGTAGATAATCCAGTCCTACTTGAGGGTCGGTCATGATCTGCAAAGTCACTAGTTCCCCCAGTGAGTAACACATGTTCGTATCTTCAGGTGAGTACCAGTTTTCTTATAATTACAGTTATGCTTTTTTGATGAATGCCATCGGAAACGAAACTATTTGTAATATTTACCTTTACTTCAATGAATATACTTTGTTTGAAGTACTTCGTAACTGTATCTGCTTATTTGCTTTTGTAATTCTTAGCTCTGAAACTAAGTTTCTATGCTCATTTCTAAGTGGTAGCATGCTATGAAAACAATTTTTAGGGGGTTGATTTAAATTGGTTTACTGACCTCATTAATTTTCTGTGGGCTGCATATCCTGCCCTGATCAATCTATTTTCTACCTACATTGAATTTACCTTGTAGATGACTCAGTTTACTGAATGGCAATTTTATCAAGTAATTATGTGAGTTAAATAACACCTCTGAACTGTTATTTCTTTCACTGATCAAATAGATGTCTCATTTCTTTGTCTTCAGAGTACCTTTGAAACTTCAGGAGGTCATTAAATTCGTTGATTGGTTACCCTTTAACAACTAGCCAGTGTAACTAATTCAGTCGTATGAGAGGTCAGTCAGGGCCAAAGTAGCTCAGTGGTAACTTAGCACTGCGGAATGAGGGTTCAAAACTATTATGGAACATCATTTCCCTCAAGGATGCAGAAAGGTCATTTTGATGGATGCCAACTGGTAAGGAATCTGGTTGAGGATAGATTTTCTTCTGACTGCCTCCAACCAATTCTTCGTTATATTTTAAACAGTTATGATTTAGACTAGCATTCTATTTAAGCCTATAAAGGAGTCAAATTACTTCATCTAATCTGTTAACGAGATTTTATTCGAAAATCTTTGAAATACAAACTACATATAACATCAGAACATCTATTAGGCTTTTGGTATATGAGATAATAACATCCTATCTAGAAATAACGTCATTTGAATACATAAACAAAACCCATGAATGTAATGAAAATTCTCACCTTTGACGATGAAGCGACCTTTAACAGTACATGGGAAGAATGTATGTGTTTTAATTGAATTTTGAGGGAGCTGTGGGGATTTAGAAATTATTCAAGTTGTTATTCATCGTAGACTGACATCAGTTGGAGGGAAAAAGAAAACCTAGGAGCACTGGACAGCTGTTTCGTCACAGTATGGGACTCCTCAGAAGTGCGTACCCACGACCTCACCCTCAAGGGATCGAACCCACGACGCTCAGGTTCCGTGGCCAGCACGTTACCATTGAACCACTGGGCGAGAATCCAATGGTCCATATTTCCAAATTCTTTTAGCTGATGATACAGCACAACCACCATCCAATGTCATTGTTGAGTAACTGTTCTCACGGCCATCAGGCTTTGCTGTCCAGTGCTCCCAGGTTTCCTTTGTTTCTCCAACTGATGTCAGTCTACGATGAATCACAACTTGAAGTATATGTTCTAATTATTTTATGTAAACGCGATTATGCAGTTAAAATAATCAGGGATGTTTATTCAAATCAGCAACAGTAAATAAAGCGTTTATACCAACGGAATACACGATCCCACTCTCAATACTGAGTCCGAGTTTAAACTTAAACATCGGTAAAGTTCCTCTTTACAAGAGATATGGTGATGACATCATAGTGATTTGTGAGAGGCATGAGAATATGGCTTATCTACTACTACGCCGTATAACCTCACACCAGCCTGACTTGTGAGAAAGAGAATAATCATCAACTGGCATTCCTAGATGTACTCCTGAGTCGATGAGAAGATGGTTCAATAAGACGGTCAGTTTACAGAAAGCCTACATAGACAGGACAATACCTGAATTTTCACAGATTTTGCCCAATCCAATACAAGTGAGGTCTAATAAAATGCCTGTTTAATAGGATCTATCGTATCAGAAAACCAGATACGAAGGATGAAGACATCAAATTGCTGACCAAAACACTTATGGAAAATGGATATCCGCTGAAGTTTATAAACCGTTGTAGAGGTCAAGTAGCACATAAGCCAACTCTATACACGTTTCGTAAGAAAAGTGTCCATAACACTCTACCGTACATAGGGCAGTTAAATAGTATCATTTTGAGACGTAGGCTGATATCAGCCATTAATAAAACATATTACGCGGCGAATCTTATCATTGTGGAGAAAATAAAACACATGCTTCACCAAAAACCTGCACATTGCATCAGTGATTAGGTCACATCCCATTGTGATTACCAATTTACATATGTGTGTGGTTACACATACATAGGGAGAAGTGATCGAGTCATGCAGTTAAAGTTAGGGGAACATGTACGTCAACGGTTTCAAAAAGAAATGGAGTGTGAAACTGTGATAAACGTTGGTGGGAGACGACCCTACTCATTCACAGCTAAACATATCATACAAACAGTCAGTTAGGGAGGTATTCTGAGATTTAAGGAAGCCATAATCATAAAGGAATTGAAACCACCTTTATGTGTACAAAACAGTTTGTTCGTGTACAGTTTACCTACCCCTTGGTAAACTTTGTTTTCTTACCAAGATTAATATGAACTAGGTCACTCTTCTTCTCATCTTTGCTTAATTTTAATCCTCTATTATTGTGTAAACTGTTGCATTTGTCCCCCCACTCCTCGTTTTAATATATATATATATATATATATATATATATATATATATATATATATATATATATATATATATATATAGACTTGATAAGTAAATGTATGGGGCATCAGGTTGTTCGAAATGTATTGCGCAAATACATCACGCAGTTTGTTCAGATAAACTTCCTTTTCTAATTACGCTATCGAAGTTCATAAAAGGGACTAACTGTTTCAGACAGATTATAGCTTGGACAGAATACAGTATGATAAGAAAGTTGATGGAAATGTGTAGAAGGTAAATAGATGAAAGTTCATGAGAACATTCAGGACCTGAATGATGACAATGAATGTGTATTTTGACCAGTCTCAAGCCGTATCACCAAGACTCTTCAAATATCAATTGATGTAACGTGAACAACCTCATCAGGAAGAATTTCTCCAAGGAACTATGACTTTATACCTTCATTAGTTCATAGTGAAGCGAAAATATTAATCCATAACTTTGCTGAATACAGTTCCTATCCCTTTTTAAGGTAAGTATTCATAATTCACAATTCATGCATCACTAGAAGTTTCGAATATATCTTCATAGGGGAATTCTTCATCTGGATGACTTGTTATGGAATTCTGGATGTGCGTTTCATCCTATCTCGGCCTAGTCAGCTGGATGTACCTGGATCCAAGTGAGTGGTATTGTTCCCACTGAGACTCGAACACACTGCCCATCGTTTTAAACGCCAAAGTATTTCCAACTGGGTCAATGAGGCACGAAGGCCACCTTTCGTGTAATGGGTATCAACAATGGGAGATTACAAGTAACAATAAACACCAGCTGATATCCTTTGCATAAGAGATGCTTTTCGTATCCTTATGACTTAGTTGATAATGTTTTAGGATTTGAACCAATGGACATTGGGTTCACGTCTCAGTGGGAACAACATCACTCACTTGGGTGTAGATACATTTAACCGACGACTCCTAAATATGACAAAACACGCATCCTGGTATCCACTACTGTCCATAAAGTAGATTTAAACATCGCATTACTGATAACAGCTTCAACCTACACAACAAATGTTAATAATACGATAGTTTGAGTATGCAAAATTCACCTATAATTCATTTTGTTCCGTTTTTTATGTAACATCTTCAGTACATGGAAGTACTTTGAAGGTTATGTTACTCAGTTTTAAATCAGCAACTTTAAATAAATGATATTTTATCGTTTGAATGTTTTATTTATCTCATGGTATTAGAACATGTAATTGCATTATTATTTGTCCCTTGGGTTCATAGTGGAACATAGGGTTTCAGTAGCATGTCTCAATTGCACTCTCTCCTTTGAAGTCTTCTTAACCTGGTGCCATGACTACCCACAAGCTTTCATTTCTTCCTCATACGATCTTCTCAATGTCATCTTCGCCTCGGATGCCCAACTCATCGTTTTCCCTTTGCATTTCCACTGGACGGCTGGTCTACCATGCAGCATGATATCCTAAATCGATCTTTTCAGTGTATGTCAAATCTAATCTAATCCATCTTCAATTTCTTCTGTATATCTGTAGGGAGTCTCTTCTTCATTTTATATTTATATTATTTAGGGAAGAAGTAATTTAGTTATAGGATTGAGAATACTGACTAATTACAATGACAGAATGTTGGAGTTCAGTATTACGATTGATTCTGGTTGAATACACCCATTATCATCAATATGAAACTGAACAATGGGAATGATTTGCAAAAGTGATTACAAAACACCTTTCAATAAAATGCATTTACATTTACATAGATGAAATATTAAAAAATCATAAGTTATGAGTTTGAATGATCATAATTTAGCTTAGTTAGACTTAAAGTCTTTCAACATTGATTCAATTCAATATAGTTCAGTCGTATAACATTAAGACAACCTACTCTTCAGGATTGTAGACCATATCTAATATTGCCCCTTTGGCAGCTTTCTCGTTACATTTTTCATTCCCAGTAATATGTTCATTGAATTTATCGATTAATTTTCCAGTTATTAAATCCCATATACATATACGACGATCCCAACCGGAGGTAACCTATAAAAGTATAATTGACAAAATATACCCATTTATTCATTAACAAGAACAAGGCATATATCAGCAAAGAAGAAGCATTTCTTTTCAACGACTTCATTATCAAGTTGTACAGTAGTAGTTATACTGAGTAAAGTGACAGATAATTGCACTAAAAAGGGAGTTGCTCAGTCAATATGCAAAATATACAATCGATGTAGGTGTGCGGTATTTGTTCAAGTGGAACAGATAGAAAATGGGTCACTGTGAATAAGGAGGAACGAATGGATAACAAGTAGTGAGTTAAGAGACAAGTGTTGTCAAAGAATTGTAAATTGGTGATAATTAAGCTGAAATATGTACAATAGGTCAGTGATTAAGGAATGAATTGATATTAAAGAGTGAAATATGGTTCAAATGTAGTCAATGAAGTGAAGATTGGTGATAACAATGATGATAATGGAAGAGAAGTATACCAAAGTGAACTGAAATTGAAAAAAGTAACCAACAAGGAATTATTAATGTCAAGGTAGAGAAAATGGTTTCACAAAACACTTTTGAATGCAAAGTTTCCCTTTTTGTTCATGTATAGCTAATGCTTCAGCTATACATAAGTGATGGAAACGTACATCTATGAAGTAGTTCAATTTAACTTTGTAAATTATTTTAAAGGATGAATATTGAGGTGCTGAATGTCCCAATTCAACAAGGTGTTCACATATGGATGAAGTCGTTTTCCTTTGCTCGCCTGTGGTAAGCCGAACCGGGTAGTGTTCAGCAACACGTTTTCGGAGGGCCTGTTTACAAGGTCCAATATAGTCAGCTCCACAGGAGCATGTGAACTTGTAGATACACATAGATGTAGACATAAGTGGAAGCCTATCTTTCACTCATTGATGAATCAGACGGCAGCTGGAGAATATCAATCTCAGTCTAGCAGCATAGAAGCTACTATTGATACATCTTGACAGACGATTTTTCAGCATTTCGGCTGTGGTGTCTCCTTTGAATTGTAACTATGGATCTAGAATACTTCTTTATTATTATTACCATCATCGTCATCACCAATCTTCACTTCATTGACTACATTTGAACCATATTTCACTCTTTAATATCAATTCATTCCTTAATCACTGACCTATTGTACATATTTCAGCTTAATTATCACCAATTTACAATTCTTTGACAACACTTGTCTCTTAACTCACTACTTGTTATCCATTCGTTCCTCCTTATTCACAGTGACCCATTTTCTATCTGTTCCACTTGAACAAATACCGCACACCTACATCGATTGTATATTTTGCATATTGACTGAGCAACTCCCTTTTTAGTGCAATTATCTGTCACTTTACTCAGTATAACTACTACTGTACAACTTGATAATGAAGTCGTTGAAAAGAAATGCTTCTTCTTCGCTGATATATGTCGTGTTCTTGTTTAAAGTATAATTATTTCGATGAATTAAGGTGTTCAGTGTGTATGTTATTAAAATACCAGATTGATAAGATTACATTCGATTATATTTCTTAAACCTTCATCACAGTTAAATTCCTTTGAATGAACTATATTGTTTATTTAGAAATCGCTCAACCGTACAGTTAAAGAGTAGACTCTTTTCTCTTTTGAAGTTGCTGATTAACATTCAGCTGTAAATTCAGTAACAGTAACTCTGAAGTAATTTTCACACCATGTCTATATTAGCTGTCGGCTATCAGTAAACAAGTTATCTTGGATACTTTCGTATTCAATGATTTGTTAAATACTAAGCATAGTGAAACAGTATAACTTACAACATGACGTTTCAGTGTGAATTCATTACTCAATATCATATCAAAGTAGTCTAACACTGATCACCACCTATCTAGTAAGTAATACTGAGTCATCTTGTACTATATCAACTAGACAATCCAACATGGAAGTAAACTTCACCATAGTGTCCAACTTTTGTTCTTAGTTTAGTCACTTGTTTCATAATGCTGAATAATCCTTGATCACTTCACACTGCTGCTACTTGCACCCCCCTCCAAGTGTCATACCTTGTCGTAGTCTCATGAAATTAAGTCCCATTTTGAAACCGTCAATAAACCCGAGAAGTAATAAGCAGATGTCAGGAGACAGATGGCAGAGAGAACGAGAATGCATCTCTTATCTACTGGTAAGCCTTACACCTAAAACTCATACTTCTGGAGATTTAAAACTGATACACTCAGTTTTGAAGTCGGAAACTTTCATACTCAGGTATTTAAGTGTGGACTGACCACCAAAAAGAGATACTGATCACCAGTTGTAGTTATCACCTCTAGTATGCTGACCAAAGTTTATTAAACGAGTCTGTTGTGTAGTTTATGAGTTCGTATTACGTATGGGTCCCATAAGAGTTCCACTTAGACTAAACTCAAAGGACCTTAAAGTATTTGAATGTAAATCGTTATCGCGCCTGTGTAATTAAATTATTATTTTTCCCTTGGGTTCCTGGTGACATAAAGGGCTTCAGTAGTACTCCTCCATCGCACTCTCTTCTCGGCAGTCTTCTCAACCTATCGCCACTACTGTCTACAACCTTTCGTTTCTTCCTCACATGATCTCCTCCATATCACCCTCACCTCCGACGCCCAACTCATTGTTTATCCTTTGGATTCCACTTCGGAGCCTGGCTTGGCAGCAGCTATCCCCAGTCGGCCTTCTCAGTGTATGCCTAATCCATCTCCACTTCCTTCTGCATATTTCTTGGGTGATAGGTTGTTGGTTGGTTGATTATCAGGCCAGAGTTCATTGTTCCTTATTTTCACTATTCTGGTCATCCATCTGATATTCGGTATCGAGTGAGCGTAGGCGGTAGCTGTTGATGAATGTGTGCAGTTTGTTGTCAATGATTTTCGTGAAACTCCACTTTCCTGAACGGTACAGCAGGACTGAATTAACATTGGGATTGTGCTGAGTTGAGTGCAGTAGATCTCCACACTCATTTCGGATTAGTGAGAGAAACCCTGTCGTGCTTTCACATTCTGGTTTTGACATCCTCGTCTGTACGGCCGCCACCGCCTGTAGGTGAAACGATGCAGCCCCGCCTGCGTACGTGCGTAGGTGAAAGAGACTACTTTGTTTAGATTTCTCCCGTTGATAACGATTTGAGTTTGATCTCGTTGTTATTGTCGTTGATGTTAATTAGGCATCTTCATCACCTCCGTCCTCTCCACGTTCACCTGAGGGAAGTCCCGTCTTCTCTGCCTCACTGCACACCTTCTGTCAACCTGGTCCTTTTCACTTCTAGATCTTCAACTTTCTGCATCAACACATTAGACATAAATCATCATCATCATCATCGGAGGTGGTGGCGGCGAAATTCAAATCTTCCTCTGAGGTCTCCTCATCAGTCCAGCTTACGCCTTTCTTCTCACACCTCACTGTCTGCCACATGATAGAGTCCAGTCGACCACAATCACAAAGATCATCGGTGATGATAATAGGTGGCAAACTTGTCTTACTCCTGTCTCCTCTCTTCACTTCAAAGGTGTCACTCAGTCCTCCATTGTTGATCACTTGGCATGCAGCCTCGTCATCATACAGCATATAGCTATTGAATCAGGTTGATAGAGGTTTGTGGTACTGAAACCGTAGTGTTGAAGTAGTTGCCTGACAGATAACTTGTCTTTCGATGCCGTTGATGGTCTTTTCAGAGTTGATGAATTTGAGGTTGAGTTGAGTTGACAGGTATTCTGTGCTCTTTTTTATGATGATGCATAGCGTAGTGTTGTGATTTGATGCTTACATGATGTTCTTCCTGAAGTCAGTCAGCCAGCCAGCCAGCCTGCCAGCCAGACAGCCTGTTTCGGTTGTAGTTTTGAATCCAGAGGAGCTTTAGTGTCTGCAGGATGATGTGGCATAATATTTTGCTTGGGGTGAACATGGACAGCAGCATGATTCGGCGTCAATTCTTGCAGAAACTTCGGTCTGCTTTCTTTGAAAGTTTGAGCAGGTAACCCTTGTTCCACTCTGCAGGTACCTTTCGTTCCTTCCTTCGAACTAACAAATATGCAGAAGAAAATGAAGATGGATGGGATTGGGCATACACTCAGAAGGCCGACTGGGGACATCACGCTCCAGGCCAGGCCCTCATGTGGGATCCGATGGGGAAACGACGAGTTGGGCGTCAGAGGATGATCGGAGGATGAGACGGTGTGAGGAAGAAATGAAAGCTTGTGGGCAGTCGTTGACCCAGGTTCAGGATACTGCAGAGGAGACAGTTAAAAGGAGACATGGTACTGAAACCCTATGTTCCTGTAATAACCCAAAGAACAAATAATAATTATAATAAATTGTGAAATGCATTTTTTGTACAGATGAATTCCGACGTCAAAATGAAGATAACAACGCGATAATTATTGTCTCATTGATGCAGTTTTGCTGATTACTGATTTAGCAGTGCTCTGCATAAGTGAAATGTAAGATAAAGTTCAACTTATGTGCAAGAGGTAAATAATGAAATTTCTCTTCGAAACTTGCTCAGAAGACATAGCTGAAGTTGAAACCAATTAAGATTATATATTTTAACCCAAGTCCCGATAGAATCTGTTGAAACGTGACCAAATAACAATCTCCGAATATAATTTCTCACTCATATAGTTACCTCTTCAAATTACAACTCAGGTATGGTCAGGTTCGCCAGTCATATTCCTGAATATTTTTCAGTTGGTCCAAATGACCACCGAATTCGGTGGTTGAAGACTCTATATAGTATGCCTAAGAATCAATCTCAATGTTAATTGATGCACCACAGTTTATCCTCAAATTAACTTTAAAGCCGAATTTCATTACTGAATAAATAAATGAAGCTAGTACACTCTAATTGTCTGGTTCTTTATTGCCATTAGTAGCAATATCTTGTATGTCTTATGTTCTGATTTCTTTGGTAGTGGTCTGAGTGTGGATTAATAAAAACTTTAGATAAAAAAGGCTTTAATACTTCAAAAAATATATGAAATTAACTAACCAGAACAAATGGATGGATAGGATCTTTTGCATAATTTATTGTCATCAAGCTTGTAACAGAATCTTTGTGTTCCATTAAAACGAAGCGACATTTCATTCCAAACAAGTGTCGACTAACGGATTCTAAGGTCTAAAAATGTTTAAGTAACAATGCAATATGTGTTCGTTAGCTATTAAAAGCATTGCAAATGAAGAAAGAAATAATGAAGTAAGTGTTTAACAAAATACTTAACTCAAAATGTAGTTGTACTCAACTAGATAATAATAATTATTATTTGTTCCTTGAGTTCCTACTGGAACAAAGGGCTTCAGTAACACATCGCTATTGCAATCTCTTCTCTGCAAACTGCCCACAAGCTCTCATTTATTCCTCACACCTCCTCCTCCTCCATGTCACTCTCACCTCGGACGCCCAACTCGTCGTTTCTCATCTGGGTAACATTCGAGCGCCTGGTTTGTGTGACATTAGACACAAGTCATCGGTGAAATCCAAATCCTCCTCTGAGGTCTCTTCATCATTCCAGCTTACGCCTTTATTCTCACACCTCACTGTCTGCCACATGATAGAGTCCAGTCGACCACAATCACAAAGATCATCAGTGATGATGGTAGGTGGCAAACTTGTCTTACTCCTGTCTCCTATCTTCACTTCAAAGGTATCACTCAGTCCTCCATTGTTGATCACTCGGCATGCAACCTCGTCATCATACAGCATACAACTGTTGAATCAGGTTGATAGAGGTTTGTGGTACTGAAACCGTAGTGTTGAAGTATTTGCCTGACAAATAACTTGTTGTTCGATGCTGTCGAAGGCCTTTTCAGAGTGGATGAATTTGAGGTTGAGTTGAGTTGAGTTGAGTTGAGTTGAGTTGACAGGTATTCTGTGCTCTTTTTTATGTTGATGCGTAGCGTAGTGTTGTAACTTGGTGCTTACATGATTTGTTCTTCCTCAAGTCAGTCAGTCAGCCAGCAAGCCAGCCAGCCAGCCAACCTGCCAACCAACCAGCCTGTTCTGGTCTTTATTTTGAATCCAGCTCATCCTTTAGTCTCTTCAGTGATAATAATAACTAACCATTTATGAAAGTATTAACATTTTCTTTTGGAAGCAAGTTATCATAAATGATGAGAAGGAAACTAAAGGGATAAAAAAGCTTCTTAATTCCGTATTGTAATAACCAGCCACCTAAATACGCTGTTTAAACACACTTTCAACATATTACCTATATTTACTCAGTTTTATCACATAAACATCATAAAACATTATCTATATTAAGTTTATTTATAACAGTTTTGTATCACTCTATTCATTTAACATTTAATAAAGCTTACATATTGACTGTAAATTGTCTTATCTAACAATCTTACCTGTTTATCTTCTGCCATTTTTATTAAAGGATTCAATTTTTTACTTGTTCCAAGACTTGATATTTCAATAGTATTATCTACTTCATTTATACTTTCTGTTTGTTCAATAATACCTTGTAATTTTTTAAATATTTTCAATAATTTTGGTGAATTAAGAATTAGTTTATTGAAATTGTCTATTTCTTTAACATTGGTATATTGTGATTTTGTATTGTTTTCACTTTCAATGATATTTCTTGTATCCTGTTCTATATCATCATTTTCATTATTGGTTATTGATGCATTAGTTAGAAATTTTTTAGTTGCTTGTAAATCATAACCTAATAAATCTAAAAATGAAATGATTTTTATAAAATAATCAATAAATTATACAATTTGATCAATCTGATCAGTCAATTTATTGTTATAACAACAACAACAACAACAACCGTTTGAAGACGCCACATTCCAAGTGATCCACAATGGAAAGCTCAGTGATACTTTTGAAGTGAAGACAGGAGATAGGAGTGAGACAAGGCTGCCACCTACTATCACCCATGGTCTTACTGATTGTGATCGACTGGATCATGCAACTGACAATTGTGAAGAGCGAGAAGAGGGGCATACGCTGAACCGCGGAAAAGACCCTAGAAGATTTGGATTTCGCCACTACCGACAACCTGTGTCTAATTTCACTCAAACTCAAAGATCTACAGGCGAAAACTAACAAGTCGATAGAAGAGGCGGGGTGAGGCAGCGGAGACGGGACTTCCTTCAGGTGAACGTACAGAAGACAGAGGTGATGAAGATACCCAACCAACACCACCAACAACAACAACAATAACAACAAGCTCCAATCACCATCAATGGGAGGAACTTGAAGGAAGTAGCCTCTTTCACTTATTTAGGCAGGGCAGCATCGTTTCAAGTACAGGTGGCGGCGGCACAGACGAGGATGTCAAAGCAGCCAGGATCGGAAAAGCAAGACAGGTGTTCATTAACCTGAAACCAGTGTAGAGATCTTCTGCACTCAACTCAGTCACCACAAAGAGTGAACAACATCTGGATTTTGAACACCAATGTCAGTCAAGTCAGTGTTTCTACATGGTTGAGAGACTTGACGCGTTACGAAAGGCATTTCCAACAAACTACATATATTCATCAACATCTGCCTACACTGGCTCGTTACTGAAGATTAGGTGGCCAGAATAATAAGAATAAGCAACAAGGAACTCACTCTGACTGGCAACGAACCAACCAACAACCTTTCACTCAACAAATATTCAGTGGGAAGAAGTGGAGATGGATTGGGCATACACTGAGAAGGCCGATTGGGGACATCACGCACCAGGTCAGGTTGTCGAGTGGAACCCAGATTGGAAACGCTGAGTTGGGTGTGCGAGGTGAGATTGACATGTAGGAGATGGTGCGAGGAAGAAATGAGAGCTTGTGGGCAGTGGTGGAGTCAGGTTGTGAAGATTGCAGAGAAGAGAGTGGAATGGAGATGTGCTACTGAAGCCGTATGTTCGACTAGGAACCCAAGGGACAAATAGTAATAACTGTAAACACTTCTAGTAATTATTTTTCCCTTGTTTTCCTAGTAGAACATAGGGCTTAAGTAGCTTGCCTCCATTCTACTCTCTTATCTGCAGTCTTTTTAACCTGACTTCACGACTGCCCGAAAACTCTCATTTCTTACTCACATAATCTCCTCCATGTCACCCTCGCCTCGGACGACAAACTCGCCTACTCCTCTTTCAATTTCACTAGAGTGCCTGGCCTGGTGCGTGATGTCTCCAGTCAGCCTTCTCAGTGTATGCCCAATCCATCTCTACTTTCTTCTGCATATTTGTTAGGTGGAAGGTTCTTGGTTGGTTCTTTGCCAGATTTCTATGTTGCTTATTCTTTCCGGCCACTTGATATTCAGTATCGAGTGAGCGTTGGCGGCAGCTGTTTATGAATATCTGTAGTTTGTTGGAAATGCTTTTGGTAACGCGCCGCCACGTTGTTGAACCAAATAGCAGCACTGAATTGACGTTGGTGTTGAAAACCAGATCCAGTCCACACTTTATGGTGAGTTGAGTGCAGTAGATCTCCACACTCATTTCAGATTAGTGAGAGAAACCCTGTCTTGCTTTCACATCCTGGTTTTGACATCCTCGTCTGTACCGCCGCCACCGCCTGTAGTTGGAACGATGCAGCCCCGCCTGCGTAGGTCAGTAGGTGAAAGAGACTACTTTGTTTAGATTTCTCCCGTTGATAACGATTTGAGTTTGATCTCGTTGTAATTTTCGTTGTTGTTATTTGGGAATCTCCATCACCTCCATCTTCTCCACGTTCACCTGAGGGAAGTATAGTCCTCTGCCTCACTGCACACCTTCTGTCAACCTGGTCCTTTTCACTTCTAGATCTTCAACTTTGTGTGTCAACACACTAGACATAAATCATCATCATCATCATCATCATCGGAGGTGGTGGCGGCGAAATTCAAATCTTCCTCTGAGGTCTCCTCATCAGTCCAGCTTACGCCTTTATTCTCACACCTCACTGTCTGCCACATGATAGAGTCCAGTCGACCACAATCACAAAGATCATCAGTGATGATGGTAGGTGACAAACTTGTCTTACTCCTGTCTCCTATCTTCACTTCAAAGGTGTCACTCAGTCCTCCATTGTTGATCACTTGGCATGCAGCCTCGTCATCATACAGCATATAGCTATTGAATCAGGTTGATAGAGGTTTGTGGTACTGAAACCGTAGTGTTGAAGTAGTTGCCTGACAGATAACTTGTCTTTCGATGCTGTCGATGGACTTTTCAGAGTTGATGAATTTGAGGTCGAATTGAGTTGGGTTGAGTTGACAGGTATTCTGTGCTCTTTTTTATGATGATGCATAGCGTAGTGTTGTGATTTGATGCTTACATGATGTTCTTCCTGAAGTCAGTCAGCCAGCCAGCCAGCCTGCCAGCCAGACAGCCTGTTTCGGTTGTAGTTTTGAATCCAGAGGAGCTTTAGTGTCTGCAGAATGATGTGGCATAATATTTTGTTTGAGGTGAACACGGACAGCAGCATGATTCGGCGTCAATTCTTGCAGAAACTTCGGTCTGCTTTCTTTGAAAGTTTGAGCAGGTAACCCTTGTTCCACTCTGAAGGTACCTTTCCTTCATTCCTTCCTTTCTTCCATATCTTCTGCAGTAGTGGTGTGATCATGCTCACCGTTGTCTCCGCGCTTGTTTTCAGTGCTTCTAGAGGAATTCCTCCTGGTCCTTCTGCTTTCCTGGGATATTACGGAATAGCACAGACTGCTGAGTATTCGGTCCTGGTAAAATAGGTTTACATCATGCTATCGGTTGGAATCAGATATAGCAAATTTAAAATGGAGTCACGATTCAATTATTTATACCTGGATCACCTGTTAAAAATAATAAGCCAAGTTTATTAACAATAATCATTGAGATAATTCTCGTCAGATCCAATATACTACTCCAAATTAACATTCAGTCTTTGACTATTGACTACACAATTTTCAGACAGCTACTTTAGTCAAAAGTCTACACCAGTCTTGGTAAACTTTGTTTTATTATCTAGGTTAGTGATCAACTAAGTCATTCTTCCTTTTTTCGTCTCATCTCTCATTTTAATCATTTATTATCTCGGTTTTTTTATTTATCCTTCCACTCTTCAGCTTTATATAAATTGACTTAACGAGAATATGTACTTATATCAAGAAGATATCAGTAGTGATGAGTATCATAGAGCGGTTGTTAGTGTTCAGTTAATAACTGGAAGGCTTTTCGTCAAGTTTCTGTGGTATAAGGGGTTTGCTGTATACCATACAGCATTCCTATCAACTAAACAATTGTTAAAATTATATGTTTCTAGGGTGATTGGCATATAAGAAAAGTTTCACCTAGACAACTTACAGACAACTCCATCTTCACATGCTGCAATTAGGAAATTCAATTCATCCACATAAACCATACGAAGAAAATTTCTACCTCGAGCCTAAGTATATCAGTGGAACAAAAAGAAAAACATTTATTTTACATAACTCATTTGACTACTCATTACAGTATTCAGCCTATCTTTTAACACATAGTAATATTAAGAAGTAAGCAGGTGATCCAGTATATATTCACTTAGCACCTCGAGTAAATATTACCATTTTCGTATGAATCCTGGTCAAGATTTGATCCGATAGTTCTATGAATACCAAGTGAAAAGTTGACATTAAATACGGTTTATATTTGTATAGATTAATGAGTAATTCCATGAACCTGAAACATTAGCTGTACATAAAGAAAAACCGAGACTTTGCATTACAAAACGCTTTGTGAAACCGCTTTCTCTACATTTGCCTTAACAATTCATTTGGTTATCTTGTCACTTTCATTTCACTTCAATTTGGTATGCTTCTCTTCTGTTATCATCATCATCACCAAGTTCCAGTTTAATGACAACATTTGATCCACATTTCACTTTTTAATACCAATTCATTCCTTATTCATTGACCTATCTTGCATGTTTTAGCTTAATTATCACCATAGATGTTATTTGGTTGAAGGGAATCAGCAAGAAAGCCTGAACCTGGGTTTCATGCTTTTTGGCACTCGTCAGCAGGGCGTATCTGCAACATCAACGGAACTGATGTCCCGCGTGAGATTCGAACTCACGTCACCCAATGTTGTAGTTATTGACTTTATCACTGAGCTTTTCAGGCCACTAAGTGGCCTACACCTATTGTATATTTTGCATATTGACTGAGTAACTTTTTTGGTACAATTATCTGTTATTTTACCGATTACAAATACGTTTATACAGCTTGATAATGAAGACGTTGAAAAGAAATGCTTCTTCACTGATATATGTCTTGTTCTTATTCATTAACACATCGGTATATACTGTCAGTTGAAATAAATAATTCCAAGATATTACGCGAAATTCTACTTTGACTTTGTTCAAGGGGATAAAAGAGAAACACAGAAAAAATAAAAAGGGATTGGGACTAAAATCCCATGCAAAACATTGGAACTACTTACTTTAAACAGTCTAAGATTATTAAGAAAGAATATAATTCATATTACTGTTTCTATTTCCCAAAAGCTGACTTTAGACTTCTGGCTGTGACAAATGAATGTCTTGCGAGGTAGGAAATGAACAAGGGGAAGGAAGGAGAAACGGTGATTAAGATGCTACCATCTCCAGGAGACTGATATATTCTAGAAGGTATCTAGACTTCAAGTCATACCATTCAATGTCGGTTAAAGCAGTTTTAGTCAACTGTCTGAATGACAGAGCTAAAATCTCTCTAGTAATTGTTAAGACTTAAACAAGGAATTGGAACACATAAGCCAAGCATCAGTAATTAAGAAGTATCCTCCACCATTTATTTAGAAATTCCTACAAATACATAAGAAACGAAGTAGTAACATTAACACCAGTAAGAATAATAGTGATAATATGCGTAGAAAGGAGTTCAAAGCATTCACTGTGTTACCCTATAAGGAAGGATTTTCAACAAGGTTAGAATTAGGGTAGCATTTAAGACTACAAAGCTTTTTCGGTATAGTGATCCGATGGATTGAACTAGGCAAAATTATCTAATCTATCAAATTCCATGCAATGACTGTGAGGTCAAGTACATAGGTCAAACTAAGCGATCGGGGTCAGTTAGAACAGCAGAACATAGGAATTTAGCTAAATATAGAATAACAGACTCGAATAAGATAAATAATCTAGAAAAAACTCGGCTACTGTAATGTATGCATCAACACACAATCACACAACAGACTGGGTGGAATAAAACTGAGTACTTAAATCCAATATAATCAGGGGGAGAGAGAGAGACCGATTACTGAATCTTCATTCATCGAATCTACACTCAACACATGTAATAGAAATGATGGAACACCTATACCAGAGATATAGAAAAGTTTACTACAAAAAGGAACAAAGAATAAGAGATGATAGGACTGTAAAATGCAGATGTCGAAAGTGGAGTGTGATTACATTGATATAATTGTCAGTGATGATAATTTATGCTTGAAACATCATCAAGTAAATAATACTAGATCACTCACTGTGTGTTATAAATCAAATAAACAAATCTAATATGGAATCACACCAATCACTCTCTAATTATCGTCTCAGCTTTCTACAAAACCTCCTAATACACAATTATTTTTCAGATGAATGAGGATTTTTTTCATGTAGAAGTAGTATTCATCATGGACTGACATCATTTGGGAACCATTGAAAATTTGGGAGCACTTGACAACTGTTTCTTGCTAGTAATGAGACTCCTTAGCAGTACACACCCAAGACCCAACTAGGGATCGAACTCAAGACCTTGAGATTTCACGGCAAACACGTTAACCATTCAGCCACTTGGTCGGTCTCCACTGGTTCACAATTTCAAACTACTGTCAATTCAAGACATAGCGAGACTATCACCCAAGGTCTTCAGTTAGCATCTACTTCACTTCTGACTGGTTTACCCCACAGGTCACGGTTTCTCATTAGAGCTTCGTTATATCCATCTGGAAACAAGTCACTAATGAGCACTATACAGTAATGTATTTTTGAGATGAATAGGAATTTTTTTTCAATCTAAAGTAGTATTCATCATGGACTGACATCAGTTGGGGAACTATTGAAAATCTGTGAGCACTGGACAGCTGTTTCGTCTTAGTATGCGACTCCTCAGCAGTACGCACCAATTATAACTAATTTATTCGGATATTAAACTTCCATACTTTCTTTTAACGCACTATAGATTGTAAATTCTCAATTATTCCGATCTCCATTTTTTTAAAACCAAATTACTAGTAAACAACCTTTTGGTTGTTGAAAATAATGCAAAGGTATACAAAATATATGATACTATTCAAATTGGGTTTGTAGTTGATTGGGAGTAATATTTCAAAGGTTGAATTTAGAAATATAGACTGTTTTGCATTTATTAGTCAGATGTTCAAATTCTTCTCAATATAACGAAGTTTTATGATTGACTATCTATAACACTTTGTGTTTTGAAAATTCTGTAGCTGTTGGATTGATTTTACGGGATGAGGTTGATAGCCCTATGCCCAACCTTTCGTGTTTATTCGGACTTAGGACTGGCTGGTAACTAGTGAACTAGTAAAACAGGCGAAGCGAAATACCACAAACCTTTATCAACCTCATTCAACAACTATATGAAGACGCAAAATGCAATGTGATCCACAATGTAAAGCTCAGTGATGCTTTGAAGTGAAGATAGGAAGAAATAAGACAAGGCTGCCACCTACTATCACCCATGATATTCCTGATTATGGTCGACTGGATCGTGCAGCAACCCGTGAGCAGCGAAAGCAGAGGGATACGCTGAACCGCGGAAAAGACCCTAGGAGATTTGGATTTCGCCAACACCGACGACCTCTGTCTAATTTCACTCAAACTCGAAGATCTACAGGCAAAATCCAACAAGTTAACAGAGGAGGTGAGGCAGCAAAAAGACGACTTTAAGTAAACGTAGATAAGACAGAGGTAGAGGTGATGAAGATACCCAACCAATACCACCAACAACACCACCAACAACAACAAGCTCCAATCACCATCAATGGGAGAAACTTAAAGGAAGTAGCCTCTTTCACTTATATAGGCAGAGCAGCATCGTTCAACTACAGGTGGCGGTGGCACAGACGAGGATGTCAAAGCAGCCAGGATCGGAAAAGCAAGACAGGCGCTCATTGACCTGAAACCAGTGTAGAGATCTTCTGCACTCCACTCAGCATAAACGGTAAACAACATCCGGATTCTGAACACCAATGTCAGTCAAGTCAGTGTTTCTACATGGTTGAGAGACTTGACGCGTTACGAAAGGCATTTCCAACAAACTACATATATTCATCAACATCTGCCTACACTGGCTCGTTACTGAAGATTAGGTGGCCAGAATAATAAGAATCAGCAACAAGGAACACACTCTGGCTAACAACGAACCAACCAAGAACCTATTACTCAACAAATATTCAGTGGGAGGAAGTGGAGATGGATTAGGCATACACTGAAAAGACCATTCCGGGACATCGCGCGCCAGACCAGGCCGTCGAGTGGAACCCAGATTGGAAACGCTGAGTTGGGTGTGCGAGGTGAGGGTGACCACATTAACAAGATGATGTGAGGAAGAAATGAGAGCTTGTGGGCATTGGTGGAGTCAGGTTTTGAAGATTGCAGAGAAGAGAGTGGAATGGAGATGTGCTACTGAAGCCGTATTTTCCATTAGGAACCCAAGCGATAAATAATAATAATTATCTGTAGCAATTTAACCAAGGCGATTCATTCCCACTCAAACACTATTTACACGTCATCGACTGAACTGTTCACGATAGCTTTGATTGAATAGACTGGCTTTATGGTAAGTGGATAATGACTGAAGTTGAGAGTAACCTGATTTGAAAAAGGATTTGATCTAGTGGCCTTCATTTTTATCCGTTTAATCGTCTATCAACTAAGCTAGGAAATAATCTATCAGTTGCCTTTCCTTTTGATAATCTAGCCTAAACCCTTGCCTAGATGACCTTGATGATGACCAGTTTCAATGATAATAATGAGGGTGTTTTTAAACGTTACTAATTCTCGAGAGAGAAAGGTTGAATTTATTCTCCCTTTGGATGTAAATTATTGAAATAATTCAATAAACAAATTACACCTTTTAACTGATTTGGTGCAAAAGAGATAATAATACTTCGTTATGACCTTATTATGAAAAAGAAACTATTCATAGAATACCCGCATCGTCTGGTTGAACTGATACATTATTGACTGATCCGTTTTAATTACAATTGTAACCAAACTGATAATTTATCACCGTTATCACGATCAAATGAGATCAACTCGATAAGTAATTAACAAGATTTCTAAATATAATCACACTAGAATAAAAGTGAATAAGGATGAACTAAGGGAAACAACGAGTTAAGCATTCGAGGTGAGGGTGACATTGAGGAGATGGTATGAGAAAGAAATGAGAACTTGTGGGCTGTCATGGAGCCAGGTTGAAAAGTGCAATGGAGACGTGCTACTGAAGCCCTATGTTTCACTAGGAACCCAAGGAAAAATAGTAATAATAATGATAAGTAGGGCGTTGATTGTTGAGAATTCGTCCATTGTACAACCTTTTAGAAGATAAAGAATGTTTTTGCACAAGTGTATGGTCTTATTAGGGAAAAAAATATAAGGAGTTACTACCTAATTCGTTAGATTTGAGAATAGATAGATAAGTAGACTGTTTACTGGAATAAAAAGACATTACTTTGTTTTTCACGTATGTTCAATGATCAGCAGTGATATTCTTCATATAGTACTGGTCACATACACCTGTTTACGTACTGTCAGCTTGCGTCTATCTGAATCTATGGTAAAGCTTATGAATAAAAGAAATTAAGTAGATTTCTGATACCTTCTATTATTGAATTCTTCTGGATGTGATCTGTTGATTAGATAAGTCAGTTCATTTTCAAGCTGTTGCTAGGACAATACATATGACATTACTAAAGTGTACTTTATTTTGTATGATTTTTTATAATCATTTTTTTGAAATAGTTACCATAATAAAGTCGGCCAGCCAAGAAAGAACTTAGTTATTCAACTTTCTCCTTCTTATGTTGCTTTGGTGCTAACCTGTAAGAATGCGAGTGCTATTACATTTTATGAAGTGTTACAATGTACTGATTGATAGTAAATTTTTACTCATATCATCATCAACTTAACGATTTATATTGGTATCTTGTATGTTTTAGAACCTCGGGTTGGTAGTCTTGATGTAATGATGTTAGTTAGAGAAACAATGGAAATCTGGGGTCACTGGACAGTTGTTTCGTCCTAGTGTGACACTCCTCAGTGGTGCGCATCCATGACCTCACCAGGAACCGAACCCAAAACCTTCAGATTCTGTGGCCAACATGTTACCAGTGAGTCACTAGTGCGCACCGCTATGACGAAACAGCTATCCAGTACTCACAGGTTTCCAATGTTTCTCTAACTAGTGTCAATCCATGGTGAATATCAACTGGAAATCAATAAATTCCCACTAATCTTTAAATTAAATTTTATGATTCCTTCAACGTTAGTCAGTTGAGGACTTATGATGTACATTTTTCGAGACATTTGATTAAGTCTGGTTATAGCATTTCACAAAACTCACAGATAATATTTCAAATCTGGTAAACTAGGCTTTGATTTACGACTTTTTTTTGTCATGATGGAGAATACTTGTAGCACAGGAGGACAATTTTGACGGTGTTGTGTTCTTTGAGCTGAATAGCTTAATCTTGAAGCTTTTATTTTCATTCTAGACAGAAAGAAGTGATTAACAAGGTTTTCTGCTGAAGGCCTCATATGTGATTGGTTGTTTCTGCCAAAGTTTTGTCACTGTCTACAAATTAATTCCGACTGATTGTCCTGCTGACGTGAACTTTGACCTTCTTGTTACCTCTTATTGGTTGGTAGATTAAGTTATTGTCAGTGTGTCTGTTGAGCGCTGACTGACACGTTTGTCAAGCTTTTAAAAATTCTCTAACATTTTTTGTATTTCCTGTATCCAGGATTTTTACATTTATCAAGTCGAATTCATGCCCACAGTTGTTCCTGTACATTGATATGTGCGAGGATATGTCACGACGCTTCACTTCTAGGCGGTGTTCGTGTAAACAGATGCAAAGAGAGCGACCACTTACTTCGATACAGTGTCTGGAGTTTATTTTGTGGATAATGTTTGGTTTGTCTTCCTTTGTTATTGTATATTTGGGCGTGCATAACAGGGAAGGAGATTTTGTGGACTTGTAAGTCACAGAGATTTCACAAGGCTTCAATAATCTAGTCGTGATCTAAGAAAATTTGTTTGGCTGATGATGAATTATGCAAATATCTTTTAATGAAGTTGCATTGATGTCCGTTCTTATGGAAAACAGTCATTGAATAGTTTTCTTCATTTCCCTTAAAAGTTGATATACTACAGTGTATCTTTGCTCTTTAGAGCAATGTTCTTATACAACTGATTTTGTGTGCAGTTGCTACTGTAGTTGAGAATTTCATCCATATGAGTCTCTGTATACTTATGTTTCCAAGTATCCTAAATCTGTTCTAGTGATCAGAACATTTAAAAATGAAAGTTTGTTATGTGATTCTTCCTCATTATTATGAATTCCAAGTCGTGGAAAATATTGTTTAGCCTCAGGCGTAAATAAGACTTATGTAAGCTGCTTAAATCTCATGACGCCTGCTGTATCAATGGTATTTCTGCAGAAAGTAAATCGAGTATGAACCATCTTGGGTTGGGTTTAACTTTTGTCCTTTGTTGGTCATCCCATATTTTATTGACTTGTAAAAAAACCTTTCGTTCAACTTATTGCGTAAAGAAATTGAGGCTTTCTGGTATAACTCAACTACTTCTTTTACAATTTATTAATTCCTGCATTTTACTTATTCCTCCTCTCTGTTGTTACCTATTGTTCTTTTCTGGTCTTCTTAAGAAGAACTATGTTGTGTGTTGCATTGGGCTTTGAAGGCTGTCAGCATGGTGACAGCAACATTGCAACCAACTACCTACAGAAATTTTAAGTGACAGTGAGCATCCACTTCATCATTCACAGCTCTCTCTCTCTATCTCCTCATGAAGGACAAGGAGAAACTACATAAGACAACTACATCCTCGTACAGCTAAGCATAAGAATTCGACTGTACTTTACCTGGCACACATATTTCGTGAGGGAAAAGTGTGTTACAACACAAATCACACATCAACTTTGTAACAGTTAAAAATCCTATTTGAATAATTCAACTAACAATGTGAAATTTTCTCGTTTTTAATATTCTTCATATAACTTCAATGTTTATCATAAAACAATTTGAACTGTTGTGAAGGAGTATGTATATACAGATATATTTTGTTGTTGTTGTTGTTGCAATATATATTACTCTGAGAATTCGAAATTGTACCACAAATTGTTTGGAATAAAGTGAATCATTATTATTATTATTCGGCGATTAGTCTTGATATAGGTGGACCTATTGGTGTTCCTATTGTCTTTTTGTAGAATTCACCGTTGAAATGAAAGATGCAGCTGATGGGAAACAATACTGTTGTTCCTTATATTATCCTGTCATTGATTAGATCGAATTGACCAGTGTTTATTGGGCTTACGGGCCCCTGCGTGAATGACTCAATAACGCTTGTGTTTTAATTATATGTTAGTGATAGATAGTGGCTAACAGTGGAATCAAGGACGCACGTTTTGTCCTGTTTAAGACTCGTCAGCTGGATGCACCTGCTTCGTAATGAGTGATGTTGTTCTCCCAGGAACTCGAACTCGGAATCGATCGCCTCAAACTTCAGAGCGTTATCTACTAGATCACCCAGCCATGATAGCCAAGCTCTGGTGTTTGAAGCGATTGGTCCAGAGTTCTAGTCCAAGTGGGAACAACACCACTCACTGGGAGGCAGGTACATACAGTTGACAAGTCTCAAATAGGATGGTTTACGCATCCCGGATTCCACTTCTAGCCAGTATCCATTATTAATCGAACACAATAACATCTATTCATTTTGCATTCCCATATATATATATATATATATATATATATATATATATATATATATATATATATATATATATATATATATATATATATATAAATCGTAAACAAAAAAGTTTTAGGCGTTGAAATGTATTCATAGATTGATTGATATCATTTGTCAACTTTCTAATTGTCCACTTTTCTAATTACTGAATTCCAACACGTGATATTAATATGTACCAATGGCATTCACCTTCAATTCGATAATACAGACAAACTGATACATTAGCAATGAGCTTTCCTTTATATTAAAAATTGGTCGATATATTTATGGATAATCTATAGGACAAATTTATATTATGTATCCATCTATGTTATATCTTCTAGTTGCTAGAACTCTTTAATAATCTTCAAAACAGTATTCTTTTCATGATAGAATAAGGAGGTAATTGTAATTCCAGCCGAACAGATCATGTTTTACAACATAAAAAGCGTGGTAAGTTTCCTTTGCCTATTCACAGAACTTAACAAAGTAATCAATTAGATAAGAGGATTCGTAAATGGACTAATTCACAGATCTATGAGGATATGTTCAAGTGATAAATTGGACAGAAGTTGATTAATGAGTGTAGCAGATCTCATAACAGTAAACAAAACCTCAGATATATCCAGATACACATTAGAAGGGGATGATATAGAAGGCTGAACACTAAACAGGCTAGAAGATATCACGTAATCAAGTTAATCCGAATTCATACTTTTCCACCATTTTCCGTCTTTCCTCTTCTTAATTATATGTTGGCGTAAAATCAGCAGTGTAAATTGATGCATCACTTCCTCTTTATATGTCACCTCATCACAATTATTCAACAGTTGAACATGAAGTGTATTTATGGAACCTTTAAGTAGATTTCTATGATTTCAGGTTGATTACAATTTGCAATTCTTCGATGTTTTACAATGTACAATTCAAACATTCTCCAACAAGGATATTTTTGATAATTTGGTTAGTTGTGGCTAGCAGAAGAATCCAGGACGCGCGTGGCTATCTTTTCTCTGTGGCACAGTGGAGAACGCCATTGCGTTTGAAGCTATGAGTACGGGGTTCGAGCCTCAGTAGGAACAATATAACTCAATGGGGTGCAGGTACATCCAGCTGACCAGTTAGCCCCAAATAGGACGAAACGCGCCTCCTCGATTCTTCTGCTAGCCACAACCAACTAAATTATCATAATTAACATTCAAGTAATATCAAGACATCCGCACAGAAGTTCATATGCCAATAGAGGTGGGATAAATCGATCTAACAAAACAACAGAGAATAACAAGGATGTAGATAAATAGTAATAAGGATATTTTTATCAAAAAAAAATTACATGGAGAAAATTTTCGGAGAAAATATGTTCATAAACATATTTTATCACCTTGTTAATTATTAATTCTTTTGCGTTTTTTTGGGGTTGACTTTGACAGTTCATATTGATCAAGGTATTCATTCTTGATTTGATCCTATTCGGTGAATAATCTCGACGATTTGAATAAACAGTGACAGATCGTTTCTTTTGATTAGTTAAATTCTTAGAAAACTTTGATTCTAATAATAATGATGGTGATGATGTTGATAGTAATAAAGTTTTTGGTAAAGATGATTTCAATACTTCTATCTCTCTAGTTTGAACAGCTTGTGTACGCATTTTCTCTTGGAACCATTCTTGTAATTTTTCATCAATTGATTCATGAATTATTTCTTCTTGTCTTCTAAATATTTCACAAAGTTATCATAATTAATAGTAAAAACAATAATGAAAAGTTAGTGAATTGATGAAGACGAATGTTTTGATGCAATATGTTATACAGATACCATATACATAGTAGTATGCGTTTAAAAAAAAGTGGCTTATACAGTTTCATTTTTCATTGTTATTAATGACTCTGTCAGTTGTAAACTAACTGTCTAGTCACTGTAGAACTGAACAATGAAAAGGGATAAACTTGTACAGTGAATAGCTTTGCGCTTCGGTTTTGGGTATTAATAGTCCATAAGATACGGATTCAATGTGTATAAAGTTATTCTGCTTCGAAACCAGCACCAACGTTGAACAAGAACACTTACATTTATGTGTCTGTTGGATGGGAGCAATCGGCTGTAAGTCTTGCTGGCCCAAGTTTTGGTGTTGATTAACAGTCCTTATCGAGGCGTGTCTACAATCTGGATGGAACTGATGACTGTTGTGACCGAGTGGTGGGGTTGTGCACGTGGGTATAATGAATACTGAGACTCAATAGACACCTCAACCGAATACCTTTATGACTGACCTCCTTCAGTACAATCTGCTTCACTCAGCCGCGGAGAAATCAGAAGACAAAGACGGCCTGTGACTTCAAGAACAGCGACAACAACTTTTATTGGACAAATACATGACATGTATGTAGTTCCAAAACTCTCAGAAAGTGGAGCCATAAATAAACCAATCAGATTTCTTGTATGAGGCTGAATTTCTCCAATGAGGTCCTCATGTCAGCGCATGCATAAATCATAACCTGAACATGATCTGATCATGACTTGGTAACAACTCCCCTATCGGCTGCCTTTTTGTCGCTCCATATCAATGACCCACATGAGATTCGATTCCATATTATCCAGTGCATGCAGATATTAGCACTCAGTTGACTGTAGCAATGAGTAACGTCAGTTCAAATCCCAGGTGGGAAATCAGTTCCGTTCAGTTTGATTCAACGTGCCTGAAGATGAAATTGAATAGGCTAGAGGAATCATAAAAATCTTAAGATAGAAATCTGTTTGCGTCATGTACTATGCATCTTAAATAAGCGTGACTTTAAAGATTATTCTATCAACCACTAGTCAACTTTTCTATGTTACGAAACAAACGATTTATTCAGGAGAAATGAAAAATCTTAGTTGCTTATTCTAGCGTTGACTAAGGTGACCTTTAGTGTTACTAACAAAGTAGTCTGGTGTCATGAAACTTTGCTATAGCTAATTTCTCACAACAGAAAAAGGAGTCTAATCTATTGTTTATCTTCAAGAATCAAAAGAATCTGCACGGGTGATACTATCGTCGATGAATTAGACAAAACTATAGAAGACCATCAGCATGGTGAGTGGTGTGCTTCGCACTCAGTTGATTAACACTGTACTTGATAGACATATAAATTCCTGCAACCAACTACCTACATAAGACAACTACATCCTCGTACAGCTAAGTATAAGAATTGTTGTTGTTGCAATATATATTACTCTGAGAATTCGAAATTGTACCGCAAATTGTTATTATGATTATCATGCAAAGTGGATACCCATCCAGATATACTGAGAAGAACTTGAAATTAAAGCAGAATAAGGAACAAGTTTTCACAGTTCCAAAGAAGACCTTGTTTATGAAGGTTGGTTTCGAAGGCGATACAGCAGCAGAGATCCTGAAGAATCGACTGTCCAGATCGTTGAAGAAGACATTCTTCTCTGCTAACCCACAGATCAGAGTTTCCTTTTTGGATCACCTAGATGTATGTCTACAAATTTACTTACTCCTGTGGTGCTAGTTATATAGGCCGCACAAAGTGCACACTTCCCAAACATATCTCTGAGCACTATCCTGCATGGTTGTCGAGGGGAGAATATAAATCAATTAACAGTTCAATTCTTGAACATGTAGTCAACTCTGGACATATATAGCTTGACCAGAATCCTCCTTCAGTGTCCTTTATCGTGTCAGATGGAATACTTCAAAATGAGTATGCCTTCGACAGTTGTTCACAGCGGAAACACTGGCAATTCATCAATTCAAGCCTGACCTCTGCGTGCAAATGAAGTATTTTCAGTTTCTCGTCTTACCCTGGTCTTAACATTTCCACATTTTTTTCGATTTCATTATAATCAATTAGTTCACCTTCATTATGACCCTTGTCTAATTCTTCACCTTCTTTACATCTATCTATCTATCTATCTGTCTATCAAGTGGATACTCAACCGATTCTCACTTCTCATCTATCAACAATTTTCATCTAGTCAAACTCCTTGCCTTCCCCGTTACTTCTACTGTCTAAGTTTATTACGCAACTACTTTGTATTCTTGATTCCGGTGTTTTAGTACTACGTGGCTTAATGATGTAATTATACTCTATTGTTTTATAATGGACCGTTATATGTTTATGATATATATGCATGGATTGTACAGCTTTAGAAAAGGATACTGTTGAAAAAGGAAATTTTCTTCGCTGAATTATCTCTTCCTTTTACTATTTGGAAAATTATATTATGTTGTAGACGTTTCATCACTAAGCTCAATCTCAGTGAATATCAATATTATTTCCCAACATTGTTACCCCTATATGTCGCAGCTTTTTGTTAGTAAACGAGAGAAACCATCTTGTTGCCAGTTGTTAACCAACTTTAGATTTGTTTCTATTTTGGTGACTGAAAATGGATTCACTCACTACCGAATGTTATATTATAATTTAACTATCTAAGATAGCCGTAGTTTGGCAGACTAGTATTTGTACAGGGTGATTATTGAAGGTGAGATGAAAACCTGAACCATAGCCGGATTCTAACCAGCGACCACTGGGTTACCAGCCCGGAGCTCTATCAACTGAGCTACGAGGTCCGACTGTTGACCAGAACTTTATTTCACTTCAATCAACAAGGCGGGTTTTGCCCGACTGCCATGTGAATTCGTGACGCGTTACTACCACTTGATCGTATTCACACCGGCTGCCTAGTCAGGACTTCTAATCTCAATCCAAATCTAACTGAATTAAAGAGGGGGAGTATCATATTGATTATCATTTGACTATCTAAGATAGCCGTAGTTTGGTAGACCAGTATTTGTACTGGGTGATAATTGAAGGTGAAATGAAAATCTGAACCATCGCCGAATTCGAACCAGTGAGCACAAGGTTACCGGCCCGGTGCTATATTGTATAACGGTTACATGTTCAATTTCATTTCAAATAAGTTTCTGCTGCCTTCTAACACAGGTGTAATGAAAAATGCGTATATTGGTATTTCATCAGGTTAGAATTGTGACATATACATCTCAGGGTATAAAACAAAATTCATTTTATCAGCATTTTATTACATTGTATAACTACTGTCAATGAATATTTTAAGAATACACCTACATATAAGAGAAATGTGTTTGACCTCTACGTTCCCATCTCAACAAATGATTGTCTGAATCAGCAGAAAATAAAGAGAAGGGCGGTTTATAACCTGTTGTAATGTAAACAAAACAAAAGAAGACAAAAGAGAGCATAGAAGAAAAGATTAGTCATCATAATATTATGAAATGAATTCAGTGGTGAAAGTATATTTTGAGTAAACATTACTTCAGACAACCACCAACAATCATTTGTAATTATGTTGGCTGAAGTAGGTCCAGGCTGGAAAAAGTCCCGAAGTGGCCACACTTAAACATGGCACCAGTGCATGAAGTCTCTGATTGTTGGTTTCAGCCATGTGGGGCGATGCAGACTAGGTGGTTGGGGTACGCAGGACAAGATGAACCAGTGGTTGGAGACTGACCCTAGGTGATATGGCCGAGAACCGATATCAGTGGTGCAGATATATACACACATTATCCTCATCTTAACGTGGCTATATCAATTCCCACGACTTTCTCATTCTTTGTTTCTCTCTCTTCGCACTTTATATTTCTTTTGACTGCATTCTCTTATCTTCATCTTGCGCCCCACTATCTTTTTACTTGATGTATTGATATGAGGTGTGGCAACTCGGACCGTTAAGCAGTAATGCCTAGTCCTAGGTTGATGTGGATGGATGATGTAATTATGTTTGAAGTTAGCAAATCACCCAACTAGACGGTATGTACTATTCACATCAGTGAGAACTGGAAAGTTTGAGCATTTACTTACTTCTCTTTAAAGTCCTATAAAGTCTTAAAACCATTAACATTGAAAAATAATATCCTATCATTAAATGACTGAATGTTTTTCAGGTCCATTCAAAAGAAATATGTATAGGCACTCCTTACCTTGGCATAAATCAGACAATCACCACCTCCGTTTATTATCGGTTTTGAATATCTGAGATAGCTGCGGCTTAGCTAACTTGTTTTTATTACATTAATGTTAAATTATTTGTCACTTGGGTTCCTAATGGAACATAGGGCTTCAGTAGCACGTCTGCATTCCACTCTCTTCTCTGAAATCATTTGAGCCTGGCTCTACGATAGCCCAGAAGCTCCCATCACTTCCTTACACCATCTCTTCCATGCCACCTTCGCCTCCGACACCCAACTCGTTGTTTCCCATTTAGGTTCCACTCAAGTGTCTGGCTTGGCGCGTGATGTCCCCAGTCGGCCTTCTCAGTGTATGCCTAATCCATCTCCCCTTCCTCCCACTGCATATTTGTTGAGTGATAGGTTCTTGGTTGGTTCGTTGTCAGCAAGAGTGTGTTCCTTGTTGCTTATTCTTATTATTCTGGCCACCTAATCTTCAGTAACAAGCCAGTGTAGGCAGATGTTGATGAATATATGTAGTTTGTTGGAAATGCCTTTCATAACGCGCCAAGTGTCTGAGCCATACAGAAGCACTGACTTGACTGACATTGGTGTTCAAAATCCAGATGTTGTTCACTCTTTGTGGTGGCTGAGTAGAGTGCAGAAGATCTCCACACTGGTTTCAGGTTAATGAACACTTGTCTTGCTGTCTTTCCGATTCTGACTTTGACATCCTCGTTTGTGCCGCCACCACCTGTAGTTGAAACGATGCCGCATAGCCTAGATAAGTGAAAGAGGCTACTTCCTTCAAGTTTCTCCCATTGATGGTGATTGGAGCTTGTTGTTATTGTTGTTGGTGGTGGTGGTGTTGTTTGGGTATTTTCATCACCTCTGTCTTCTCCATATTCACTTGAAGTCCCGTCTTTGCTGCCTCTTCTGTCAACTTGCTGGATTTTGCTTGTAGATATTCAAGTTTGTGTGACATTAGACACAAGTCATCGGTGGTGAAATCCAAATCTTCTAGGATATTTTCCCCGATCTAGTGTATTCCTCTCTTCTCGCTCCCCACTGTTTCTTGCATGATCCAATCCACTACAATCAGGAATATCATGAATGATAGTAGACATTTAGCACTTATACTCAGTTAGAAATGTATTCCAGTTCATGCTTAAACAATTCAAATACTGATATGTTTATTGTGTCGTTCTGTTAGGTCAGGAGTATATTGTCAGCAGGTCAGTTTGGCTTATTCAACAGCAATAACTCAGCTGTGAAAATAATTATACTAAACGTAGACTGAATAAGAGTCAGATATCAGTGATGTGAATGAGATTATATATTACCCTATTATGTGGTAAATTGAGGATGTCAAAGCAACGACCTGAAAGATAGCAGTATAGACCTTCATTAACCTTAAATCATTGTGAAGATCTACTGCACTACATTGCACTACACTCCATTAAGTGAAAAAGCATGCACAACATTCGGATTTTCAACACCAGTGTTAGCCAGGTCAGTGCTTCTACATGGTTCAGAAACTTGGCGCGTTACGAAAAGCATTTCCAACAAACTACAGACATTCATCAACAGCTGCCATCTACGTTCGATACTGAGGATCAGACAGATGGCCAGAATAATAAGAATAGGCAACAAGGAACTCACTCTGACTGGCAACGAGTCAACCAACAACCTATCAGTGAGAAGACCGACTGGAGACACCACGCTCCAGGACAGTCTGTCGATTGGTAGGCGAATGGGAAACGACGAGTTGGGTGTCCGACGATGATCGAACGAGACGGTGTGAGGAAGAAATGAAAGGTTGTGGGCAGTCGTGGATTCAGGTTGAGAAGACTACAGAGAAGATAATAAAATGGCGACGTGCTACTGGAGCCCTATGTTCCACTAGGAACTCAAGGGACAAGCAATAATAAATACAGAGGTAGTATTCATCATGGACTGACAACACTTGGGGGACCATTAAAAATCTGGGAGCACTGGACAGCTGTTTCATCCTAGTATGGGACTTTTCAGCAGTACGAACCCATGATTCAAAAGCGTATTGAACTCAATACTTTCATGTCCAGTGGCAAAAGCCTTAGTCACTGCGTCAGAAGCACAAAACTGCGTACTATTGGATTTTAACACAATGGCTCAATGACTAAGGTGTTCGTCGCAAGAACTAAAGGTTATGAGTTCGATCCTAGTCGAATTTATGGGTGCGTACTGCTGAGAAATCCTATTCTAGGATGAAATAGTTTTCCAGTCCCTTCAGGCTTTTTATTAGTTCCCTAACTTATGTCAATCCATGTAGATTACTACCCAACACTTATATATTTATACTAAGAATTAATTTACTTGCACATAGGCATTGAATTCCACTCTCAGTTTTTAACGTCAGTGCACTTGATTCACTATTATACTTCCAAGTTAGTAAATACTGACGACTTGTAGAAACTAAAACAAAAAAATATGTTCAACAGAATTATACAGATTTATTATCAGCTATTATTTATCAATAAAACCAGCAAATAATGTTTAAATTTTGAAGGGGTTGTGGAGATTTGAAAATATTTCAAGTTGTTATTCATCGAAAACTGACATCAGTTGGAGGAACAAAGGAAACCTGGGAGCACTGGACAGCCGTTTCGTCCTTGTATGGGACTCCTCAGCAGTGCGCAATCACGACCCCACCAGCAGGGATCGAACCCGCCACCTTCAGGTTCCGTGGCCAGCGCATTACCATTGAGCCACTGGGTCAGAATCCTATGCTCCATATTTCCAACTTCTGTTAGCTCACGATATATAGCGCAAACCCCCACCCAATGTCATCGTTGAGTATTTGTCCTCATGGCCATCAGGCTTGACTCCACCGGTCACGACTTGTCATTGGAACTTCGGGAATACTTCTCGAAACTAGTCACCAACGAGCACTAGTTCAATTAAATTTTGAGGGAGTTGTGGAGATTTGGAAATATTTCAAGTTGTTATTCATCGAAGACTGACATCAGTCAGTCTTCGATGAATAACAACTTGAAATAATCTTTAGTAATAATAATAATAATATCCGCTTTATTCTAGACAATACGTTTTAGTATAGTTCTGAATTCTCAGTGCGATATTTCAACTAATTTACTTCTTATACAATATTTTCAAATAAAAAAACCATAGCTGTTAAATAATGTTAATAATAACAGTATGATAGCCAGAAATGCACAATAACCAGCTGTTTTTTTTTCGGTTATTATTACACTTGGGTCAGACGTAAGTTTTGTGGTAGTGGTTCATTCATCTTCCAGTCTAACAGTTCTTTGTCCCAGATACTTGTTGCTGTAATAGCTGTTTGATGTATTGTTGTATAGTCTAGTGTAATATTTCCTCATAGTCTTGTTATTAACCTGTCTAATAATAGATTGAAAACATTTTAACGAGTACACGATGGTGTTTGGCCATTTGTTATGAGTGTTTTTAAAACAAGTTAAAAAATGAGCAATTTAATGAAATATATATATATTCGATAAAATATTTCTGGCAGCCTTCCATTTCAATATGGAGTGACAAGTATTGCTGTAAATCGTAATTAGTGTGTGTAACTAAAACATTTTTTTTAAAAAAGAATACTACCTAAAGATTATTTATCAATGATGAATTATAATAACCAGACTGTTCGAAAGCAGCTTCATTCCCTATTAATTATAATTATTTGCTAAAGTGAAAGATTTTATATTCTGTGAAGTAATTAACTTCAGAATAGTTGTATGAACTATCATGTACCAGTAATGATATGAAGGGGAATTTCGTTGAAAATGTATCTTGTAAAATAAATCAAAATACTGAAAGACCTTGTTTCTTTATATAAGTATCTGAGATAGCTGTAGTTCACCAAATTGTTACTATTGACACAATGTAGTAACTAATGGTGAAGAAAAACTACGGTCTCCTGGAAGATTCAAAGAAGCGAACTGTGAATCACGGGAATGGTACTCTACTAAATGTACTACCAGACCTAGTTACTGACCACACTTTAAGTGACAAGCGGACTTCCCAGCTGTCATACGGATGAGAGATGCTTAACTGTCCATTTATCATAACCAACTTATTACATCAGAGATGAAAAGTCCTGACGACTATAAACTTAGGGCTATGCGTTGCGCAATCAAATGAAAATTGGGTAAAAACTCATTGGTCTCTGTTAAGTTAGGAATTGATCAGCAGTTGAGTTGTGTATATAAGGTGGTAATCCATAGTTCGTTAATTTGCATGCTGCTGTAACCTTCCAGGGATAAATTTTACTGACGACTTATCTGTTTGAAAGCTCATGACATAACAATATTTTGCGTTAAGCAGAACAGTTCAGTTCAACTAAAAAATCTACAGGCGAAAACTTACAAGTTGACAGAAGAGGCAAGGCAGAGAAAACGAGACCTCAAGTGAATATGGAGAAGACAGAGGTGATGAAGATAACCAACCAACAACAGCGTCAACAACAAGAGGCACCAATCAACATCAACGGGAGAAACCTAAAGCTAGTAATCTCTTTCACCTACCCACCTATCTAAGCAGAACAGCATCGTTTCAAATACAGGCAACGGTGATACACACGGGGAGGTCAAAACCAGGATCGGTTTCTCTCATTAATCCGAAATGAGTGTGGAGATCTACTGCACTACACTCAGCCTGCACAAAACGTGAACAACATCCAGATTTTCAACACCAATCCAGTCAAGTCAGTGCTTCTATGTGATGGTTCAGAAACTTGGCTCGTCAGGAAAAGCACTACTAACAAACTACAAGCATTCATCAACAGCTGCCAGATACTAAAACTGGAGATCAGATAGATGGCCAGAATGATGAGAATAAGCAAGAAGAAACTCACTGTGGCTGGCTGGTAAAGAACCAACCATGAAATTATTTCCCAACAAATATGCAGAAGGGAGTGGAGATGGATTGGGCATACACTGAGAAGGCTAACTGGGGACATCACCCACGAGGTCAGGCCGTCGAGTGGAATCCGAAAGGGAAACGAGGAGTTGGGCGTCCGAGGTGAGAGTGATATGGAGGAGACCGTGTGAGGAAGAAATGAAAGCTTGTGAGCAGTGGTGGTGCCAGGTTCAAAGGACTTCCGAGGACAAAGTGTAATGGAGACGTGCTACTGAATCCCTATGTTCCACCGGGAACCCAGGCGAAAAATAATCATATAATAGAAGAGTTTAGTGAATTTGATAAATTTAAAATTCTTTATCTCTCTATAGTCCCCCGTCTAATGTTTACCACAGCTACTGCATGTAAAAGTAGCTGATATGTGTGTCAGCCTAAGACGATTGTGCAGTCAACCAACATCACATCCAATTATGCTGACAAATTAACATGAACTAGCCAAAACTAGTATATTGGATAGGTAAAAATATGAGTCTGTATTCAGTTTTCTAAAAATGTTTTAAACAGCCTATAACTGAGAGGCTGAAGATCGTTTACAAAACAGTTTCAGGGTGTAAAGTAGGTTTATCTATTATTATTATTATTTTATTAGTCCCTTGGGTTCCTAATGGAACATAGGCTTCAGTAGCACGTCTACAGTGAACTCTGTTCGTTCTCTGAAATCTTCTGAACCTGGCTCCACAACAGCCCACAAGCTCTCACTTCCTCCTCGCACGATCGCTTCCATGTCACCCTCGGATGTCCAACTCGTCGCTTCCCATCTGGGTTCCCCTCGACGACCTGATCTGGCATGGCCTGGCACGTGATGTCCCCAGTCGGCCTTCTCAGTGTATGCCCAATCCAACGTATCTCCACTTCCGTCCACATATTTGTTGGGTGATAGATTCTTGGTTGATTCCTTCCCAGAGCTCTTTGTCGCTTATTCTTTCTGGCAATCCATCTGATCTTAAGTAGCGAGCCAGCCTAAGCAGTTGTTGGTGAATGTCTGTAGTTAGTTGGAAATCTCTTTCGTAACGCACCATGTCTGAACCATACAGAAGCACTGACTCAACGTTGATGTTCAAAATCCAGATCTTGTTCCGCATGCTGGGTGCAGAAGATCTCCACACTGGTTTCAGGCTAATGAACGCCTGTCTTGCTTTTCCGACTCTGACTTTGACATCCTCGTCTGTGCCACCGCCTGTAGTTGAAACAGTGCTGCCTAGACAGGTGATGATGATTGGAGTTTGTTGGTGGTGTTGTTTTGGGTATCTTCATCACCTCTACCTCTGTCTTCTCTATATTCACCTGAAGTCCCGTCTTTGTTGCCTCGCTCTGGTTTTTCTGTTAACGTGTTAATTTTCGCTTGTAGATCTTCAAGTTTGTGTGACATTAGACACAAGTCATAGGTGAAATCCAGATCTTCTAGGTTCAATTCCCCGGTTCAGCTAGTGTATCCCCTCTTCTGGCTTCCCACTGTTCGTTGTCTGATCCAGTCCACCACAATCAGGAATATCATGGGGATAGCAGGCAACCTTGCTTCACTCCTGTCTCCTGTCTTCACTTCAAAAGCATCACTGAGCTTCCCACTGTGAATTACTTGGCATGTGGCATCTTCATATAGTTGTTGAGTGAGGCGGATAAAGGGTTGCGGTATTCCGTAGTATTGAAGCAGTTTCCAAATTACCTCCCGGTGGACGCTGTCAAAGGCCTTCTCAAAGTCGATGAAGTTGAGGTAGAGAGCTGATTGCCATTCTATGCTATGTTCTATGATGATGCGTAGGGTTGCAATTTGGTCCGAAAATGATTTATACTTTCTGAAGCCAGCCAGCCCGTTCCGGTTGTAGTTTTGAATCCAGCGCATCTTTTAGTTAAACCGTTATCACTAGAAGCAATTTCATACGTAAATGAATTCAGTTCTACTCTGGTGACAGTTTATTGTGGTTGGGTGCTGAGATGTAGTACTGATTGAATATTTCTCAAATATTCATAATTATTACAACCTGGTAAAGTTGAGTTTGCATTCGAGGGCCAATAGTTTCAATAGATTGATGACTTTGTGATGGTTAGACCATTAAGATCGGTGCGTTACGAAAGGGATTTCCAACTAACTACAGACATTCACCAACAACTGCTTAGGCTGGCTCGCTACTTAAGATCAGATGGATTGCCAGAAAGAATAAGCGACAAAGAGCTCTGGGAAGGAATCAACCAAGAACCTATCACCCAACAAATATGTGGACGGAAGTGGAGATACGTTGGATTGGGCATACACTGAGAAGGCCGACTGGGGACATCACGTGCCAGGCCATGCCAGATCAGGTCGTCGAGGGGAACCCAGATGGGAAGCGACGAGTTGGACATCCGAGGGTGACATGGAAGCGATCGTGCGAGGAGGAAGTGAGAGCTTGTGGGCTGTTGTGGAGCCAGGTTCAGAAGATTTCAGAGAACGAACAGAGTTCACTGTAGACGTGCTACTGAAGCCTATGTTCCATTAGGAACCCAAGGGACTAATAATAATAATAATAAATAATCGTTGCTAGTCAATGTGTCGATGTCACATATTGAAAACATGGTTGATGATCTCATCGAAAGAGTTTCACTTCATAAACGATTATATAGTCTTTATGTGTGAGAAACCTGATGATGTGATATACATCCTAGAGAACATGAACACGGTGCGAAGTGGCATTAGCTTTACTTATGAAGAAGAGATGAACAAATAACTACCACTTCTTAACTTAGTGGTTGATCGATGAAAGGATGACTCGATTAGAAGGTCAATCTATGTTAAGTCATCATGAATACGACAGTATCTTAGTTTCCATATCTAACGCCTAGTCCAATCTAAACATGATTTATTTAGGTGCTGATTCAACAGGATGATATAAAAGGAGAAGAAATCAGGTTGCTAATGGCAATACTCGTACAGAATGGCTGGTTACGCATCAGAGTTTATCAACAGGTGCAAGATGTATTCAACATTGAAAAGTACGCAATGTTCCGTTCTTGAGAAGGATATCCTACATCTCATTCCAACTGAGAGGGAATTCACATAACGTTATTGTTAGAGAAGGCTTAGATCAGCCATCTTTAAAACATATTATGCAAACAAAGTCATCGTTGTGCAGAAGACGAATTCCATGTTACAACGCAAGCCAAAATAACACATAAAGGATTACACCAAATCCTGCTGTGTTTATCAAAAGATTAACCGTGTTATACACCTAAGGATGGTTGAATATGGAGCTAAACAAATGACTTCATCACAGCTGATAGGTGTAGGTTACAAATCTTTATCTTCATCTATAGCTGAACACAGTAGAAACTAGTTAGAGGGTATACATTAAAACAGCTTTTAAAGTACTACACAGAAGTAGTCAAGGTAAAGAGCTTAAATTTATTGAAGCTGTTGCCATCTGCATGTTTAAATTGCCTTTTGTGCATACAGAAATATTCTGTATTCAAATTGTTTTGTTTTTTCTCTGCTTTTCCTATTCTTATATTTGAGATTGACAACTTCATTGATCCTTTTCATAAGTTTTCATATCAATAGTTCAACAAGTCCATATATGATTAGACTGTCCAAAATGTATAGCGCTAATGCATCCCATAATTCTGATAATTTTCATCTATTCGTAATGCTGTTTAAAGATATCAAAGGAAGGAATGCTTTAAGTGATGAGATGCTTAGTATCAGATTAAATAAGCAGCTATTTTAAGATGATTACCTTTTTTCCATTGTTAAAAACCTGAATGTATCTCAGGAAGTGAAACTACTTAGTACCTACTTTTTTCTCAACTTAAATGAGATTTTGAGGGAGTTGTGGAGATTTGGAATTATTTCAAGTTGTTATTCATCGAAGACTGGCATCAGTTGGAGGAACAAAGGAAACCTGGGAGCACTGGACAGCCGTTTCGTCCTAGTATGGGATTCCTCAGCAGTGCGCAACCACGACCCCACCAGCAGCGATCGAACCCGCGACCTTCAGGCTCCGCGGCCAGCGCGTTACCATTGAGCCACTGGGCCAGAATCCAATGCTCCATATTCCCAACTTCTGTTAGCTTACGATATATAGCGCAACCGCCACCCAATGTCATCGTTGAGTATTTGTCCTCATGGCCATCAGGCTTTGACTCCACCGGTCACGACTTATCACTGGAACTTCGGGAATACTTCTCGAAACTAGTCACCAACGAGCACTAGTTCAATTAAATTTTGAGGGAGTTGTGGAGATTTGGAATTATTTCAAGTTGTTATTCATCGTAGACCGGTGGAGTCAAAGCCTGATGGCCATGAGGACAAATACTCAACGATGACATTGGGTGGCGGTTGCGCTATATATCGTAAGGTAACAGAAGTTGGGAATATGGAGCATTGGATTCTGGCCCAGTGGCTCAATGGTAACGCGCTGGCCGCGGAGCCTGAAGGTCGTGGGTTCGATCCCTGCTGGTGGGGTCGTGGTTGCGCACTACTGAGGAGTCCCATACTAGGACGAAACGGCTGTCCAGTGCTCCCAGATTTCCTTTGTTCCTCCAACTGATGTCAGTCTACAATGAATAACAACTTTAAATGAGATTCGTTTTGTTAACATCTCTGTAGTCATTTAACGTTTATAAATAATCATAAGGAATGGAAGATGACGAAATTTGTAATGTTGATAACTTTCAGCTTGAAAATAGAATCGTTTTAAATAACAAAAATTTCGAAATATTACTCAAACTTACCTACTATCATATTTAAATCTGCACAGAAAGTGATTAAACGTAACTGATAAGGTCGATTTTCCCAATTTATGAAAGTATTAACAAAATCTGTCACCTATTTCGAAGAAAAATTAAAAAATGAGGTAAATCAACCTATTAAAATGAATGTAAACAGTTATTCCAAAGTTTATTAACTGAAATATTTAATTGATAGTATCCACCTTACAAATGAGACAAGAATCATTGTATTGTGCCTCCTCAAGGAAATCTTTAGTAAAAGGCGAAAAAAGTTATCCGCAAATGAGGAGGCACCAGAGGTTAAAAAAAGGCCTGAAGTGGCCAGACTAAAACATGGCACCGTTGTAAGAAGTCTCTGACTGTTGGTTTCAGCCATGTGGAGCGATGCAGACTAGGTGGTTGGGGTCCGCAGTACAAGAGGAACCAGTGGTCGGAGACTCTAGGTGTTCACACGGCTCATATGTATACATATATTGTCCTCATCTTAACGATGCTATATCAAATCTCACCATTTTCTCATTCTTCCTTTCTTTCTAGTACTTTATATTTCTTTCGACTGAATTGTCTTAACTTCATCCTTCACGTCACTGCCTTTCTACTTGATATACTGATATGAGGTGTAGCAACTCGGATCGTTGCGCAGTAATGCCTGGTCCTATGTCTATATTAGTGATGATGATGATGATCCATCTCACAGAACACTCATTTCAACCTTAAGCTTTTTATCACCTAGTCGAATTGGTTTAAACAAAAAAGTAAACGGAAGTTAATGAAGCCTACATACTTACTTTCTTCAGTTCATTTGTTTAATGATTGTACTTCTAAATAGATGAATACTTAAGAGATTGAGTGAAATTTTTTTGAAAAAACTACACATCTGACTTCCTTATTTAAATAAAACCGCATTATTTTGGTGGTTCATATAAATAGTCAAACCGATAAGCGTTTGAATGTCCACTTATGACCTCACCCCACTAGGAATCGAATCTGATACCTTCATGTTTCGCGATCAGCATGTCACCATCAAACCACTAGGTTGGAATCCATTATTCCACATGTTCTTAATTCTATCGATTCCCCGCATACTGCAATCTTCATCCAATGCCATCAGTGAGTATCTTTCCTCATGTTTAACTCAGTTTGCCTCACCGGTCACTACTTTTTGTTAGAACTTCATGAAATGTCATATTGGAGCAATTCCTTTATCAGCTCTGAACAGAAATAGAAAACTGCGATCCAGTAGCTCAGTGGTAGCGTACTCACAGTGAAACCTGAAGGCTTTAAGTGCTATTCCAAGCAGGGTATGCTATACTGAGGAATCATATGCTAGGACGAAACAGCTTTCTGATGACGTCAGGTCTTCAACTGCTTTTCATATAATGTCAGTTTGTGACGAATACCAACTGATAAACCTCCTAACTGAAAAATGTTCATCGACTCAGATGGCTACATGGCAGATTCTGTCATATTCCATTAGTTGCATTCACATAACATATTGATGTATATCGGCGAATAACACTTCACTGCGTGCTGTATTCCATCTTCATCTCTTCTTAAGAATTTTGAACAACTTTTTCATATTTCATTATATTTCATTAATTTTTCATATTTCTACCATGTACCTTGGTGTGCACATTCTACATGTGGCGGAATTATCAGCCGATGATTTATGTTTTATATCCTGCCGCACAAATTCGAAGGTCTACAAGGTAAAACAAGTGTAGAGAACAGGTGGGGCAAGCCAGCAAAAACGGATCTTCAATTGAATATAGAGAAGACAGAGGTGATGAAGATAACCAACCAACAACCACCACCATAACAAAAACAAGCTCCAATCACCATCAACGGGAGAAAAACTAAAGGAAGTAGTCTGTTTCACCTATCCACCTATCTAAGCAGAACAGCATCGTTTCAACTACAGGCAACCGTGACACAGACACCGACGAGGACATCAAAACCAGGACCGGGAATACAGCAAGACTGGCTTTCTTTCATTAGTCTGAAATCAGGGTGGAGATCTACTGCACTCCACTCAGCCTGCACAAAACGTGAACAACATGCAGATTTTCAACACCAATCCAGTCAAGTCAGTGCTTCTATGTGATGGTTGAGAAACTTGCCTGCGCATTACGAACAGCATTTCCAACAAACTACAAACATTCACCAACAGCTGCCGCCTACGCTCACTCGATATTGACACTGAAGATCAGATGGCGAGAATATTAAGAATAAGCAAGAAGAAACTCACTGCGGCTGGCTGGTAAAGAATCAACCAACAACCAATCGTCTTACGAATATGCAATGGAAGAAAGTGGAGATGGCTTAGACTGGATTGGGCATACACTGAGAAGGTCGATCGGGTACATCACGCACTAGTCCATCGAGTGGAATCCTAATGGGAAACGACGAGTTTGGCATGCGTGGTGAGAGTGACATGGAGAAGATGGTGTGATGAGGAAATGAGAGTTTGTGGGCAGTAGTGGCGCCAGGTTTTAAAGATTGTAGATAAGAGAGTGGAATGGAGGTGTGCTACTGAAGCAATATTTTCCACTTGTAACGCAATGGAAAAATAATAGTCTCAATAATTTTTTATTCAACCCAGCGTCGTTTTATATATTGATGTTCATCATAATGTATGTTTGTCAGCTGAGTGAATAATGACACTTGTTTTCTTTGCGCTATGTCAACTTATCAGGTCTTCATTAATAAAATGGACTGTCTCTTGTTGCCTGCTGTTTGGCGAATTCTATGCTTTATCTCATAGACAAGGTGACTTATCAAATTAACAATGCAGGAAATTTTATTTTATTCGCTTGTATTCCAAATACCTTTTAAGTGATGTGAACAGTTTTCAATGGGGAAATGAAGGTTCTACTGCTGAATACGGTTCATAGGGCGTAAAACTGAGTTCAGTCTTGATATCGTTGGTAATGACAGGCAAGTACATTTTGGATTGTGTTTTTATATTCATCAAATTGGTGGAGCTGTGGCTAATTGATCTGGTCACTCTAATTCCAGATGACATATCATGCGTTCGACCCCAGCTATATCTACTAAGGTTTAGACAGTCATATGATCTTCACACAATATGTGAGTCTCATTGCCGCGTGCAACAATATGCACAGGGTTGGTAAATGTCTTTCTAACCTTTTAAAAGTGTTGTGATAATGATTTTCATATATAAAACGTCATTTCATCAGCTGATTAATAAAACGTTTTTAATATTTTTAACTACTTACATCTTCAGCTGTTTGTACATCAAAGATTTGAGCCTGACAACCACCAGATGTAACCCAAAATGTATCTGTTGTAGGAATATAAGCTATACCTGAAGTGAAATTTCCAGAAATAAATAATTTCTTTTATAGACATTCAAAGCATCATAATGTTAAAAATGCTATCAAGTAATTTATGAGAAAAGCAGTTGTTGGTTTATGGATTCACAAACTTTCATCATAAAGGTGACTTCGATTTTATACAGTTTAACAGACAGAATTCTGGTGTAATAATTGTAAACTAAAACAAGACGTATATAAGTGAACAATATTGTTTTCAAGTAGATCCTCTTCAGGCTTTACTCTAATACAAATAGCTTATATATATATATATATATATATATATATATATATGTGGATTTGTCGGTTGATGTGATAAATGTTTTAGGAATAACGATGGAGATAACTATACAAATAATAATAATGAAATTGATAAAAGTGGTAACGTTGACTAAAGCACTTGCAATATAGATGATGATAATGATGATAAGAACCAAGAAAGCAGAACGAAAATGTTGACACTTTGGTGATAATCAAAATGGCTCAAAAGCTTGTGAAAATAAAAGTTACGTAATAGTGAAGGGCTAGGTAAGTGAATAAACAAAGCCTAGACTAATACAGTAAGTATACGAAAGGGGTGAAGAATAAGAAAAAGGGTAAGAAGAAGTAATAACAATAATAACAATATTTCAAGTTGTTATTCATCGTAGACTGACTTCAGTTGGAGGAACAAAGGAAACCTGGGAGCACTGGACAGCTGTTTGTTCCTCCAACTGATGTCAGTCTACGATGAATAACAACTTGAAGTGTTTCCAAATCCTCACAACTCCCTCAAAAAATTCAATGGAACTGGTGCTCATTGGTGACTAACTTCGAGAGGTATAACTGAAGTTCCAATGATAAGTCATGACCGGTGGGGGCAAAGCCTAATGGTCGTGAGGACAGTTACTCAACGATGATATTGCGCGGTGGTTGCGCTATATCGTGAGTTAACAGAAGTTGGAAATATACATCATTGGATTCTCACCCAGTGCCTCAATGGTAACGTGCTGGTCACGGAACCTGAAGGTCATGGGTTCGATCCGGGGAGGGCGGGGTGGTGGGTGCGCATTGCTGAGGAGTCCCATATTCTGACAAAACAGCTGTCGAGTGCTCCCAGGTTTCCTTCGTTCATCCAACTGATGTCGGTCTACAATGAATAACAACTTGAAATATTTCCAAATCCCCACAACTCCGTCGAAATTTAATAATAACAATAATGATAAAAAAAACTGAATGACTAAGTTGTTAACTAAGTGTTCCCTGACCAACGGAGAGATGAGGTATGTACAAACGTCTTCTGAATACAAAGGCTAGGATTGTTAGATGGAATTCTCACAGCTTCTGCTATGTGTAAAAGATGAGTTTGAATACCTTTTGAAAGATGAGATGGCATGCAGTGTATAATCGTGAAAGCAATGCTCTTCTCTACAAAGTGACCACTATCAACGAGGTGAGATAAAACTGAGCGTCTTATGGAATTTATCTGTCCCTTTCCCAACCATGAAGCTAATTATATTAGAGTAAGTGAAGCCTGAAGAGGATCTAATCGAAAACAATACTGTTCGCTTATATACGTCTTGTTCTAATTTACATGATGGGAATTTTTGAAAGTCTGTAATAATTGTCTTTAGTATTCGAATAGTTCAATAAAAACTGTATGTTACCATCTACTTCTTTCTATAAAGCTTAAAAAGGCCGATAACCGAATATCTCTTAAAGATATTACGTTATTCAGTTAACCATTATTGAAGCCGTTAACCATATCAAGGTTTCATATCTGCTCTGAAGCTTCTAAGAGGAGGGTTAAAATGCGTTTGTGGGAACTTTATGTCATGCACATTCATGGAAAATCGGCAAAACATTCATGCAACAATGAATATGAGTAAACTATGATTTTTTAACTATCTCAGATATCCATAATTTGGCAGACCGGTATTGTAGCTCAGTTGGTAGAGCAACAGTCCAGAAAGCCCAGTGGTCGCTGGTTAGAATTCAGTCGTAGTCCAAATTTTCATCCCACCATCAATCATCGCTCATTATAAATACTAGTATGCCAAACCATAACTATTGCAGATAGTCAAAAATGATAACCAATATGATGCCTCCCCTCTCTGATTCAGTTGCATTTGGGTTAAAACGATAGGTCCTGACCAGGCTTCCGGTACGAACACATCAAGCGGTAGTAACGGGTCATGAATTCGTATAGTAGTCGGGCGAAACCCTTGGTAACTAGAGTGAAATACAAATCTAGTCAGCAGTTGGACCTCGCAGCTCAGTTAGTTGAGCATCCGGCCGCAAATCCGAAGGTTATAGCTTTGGATCCGGCTGCGGTCCAAATTTCCAATTCACCTGCAATCATCACCCAGTAACAATGTGAGTAAGACTTCGACACTGTGTCACAGTAAGATTCGATTCAGGTCAGTTTTCCGTATGTATGATACAGTAAAACAGTATTATTCACTGAAGAGGGCGTCGGCCAGAGTTTATTACACATATTGTCACATCAAGGTAACTCCAAACTCTGAGAGATGATTTATGTTATGTTAATATTCGAATTCTTCATACATTTGGTGTTAGGGATGCCCATATTCCTTTTATTTCATACTTACTGGTTTATTCGCTCTCTTGCTGCGCATGGGTCATATTTCGTATGACCCGCTATTGTTCTGATTGACTCCTGCCTCTTTAAATGTATTAATTACTCTTTGTCTTTCAAGGTCATTGTACACGCTATAAATAGAGTTAGTTTTCACTCGAACCATTTTAGTCCAAGATACTATACTATACTATAAACTCATCCGGTTTCCAGTCTTTTGATTTCTCTTCGCAAATCACTCGGGTTGCATTACCTCAACCTTTGACTACCAATCATTAAGTATTTCCGTTCGTTCTCACAACTCCGCATCATAACATCTGGATAGGTGTTGTTAGCCATATTGCAAGGAAGGGGAGAGAATCACAGCCATATGTAGCACATTTCAAAGATGTGGATTTACTTACACGTGACTAAAGACAAATAAATTGCATCGAAACTGTCATCAAACCACTGGAGCTGCTTCACTGTGCAACACATTCAGTAAAAAATTAAAGTAAACTTAATGCTGAACTCATTTGAGATGGTGAGAGTAGCTATATTTGATAAGCATTCCATAAGAACTACGTTTTACAGAACAAAGCTGAAATAAATTACAGAATCCTAGGGATGAGTTTCATAAGTAATGATGGACAGTGCTAGCAATGGAATACGGGATGCTCATTTCGTCCTATTTGGGACTCGTCAGCTGGATTTACCTGCTTCCCAGTGAGTGATATTGTTCCCACCGGGATTCGGACTCGGGAGCTATCGCTTCAAACGCCAGAACGTTATCCACCATAGCACTGAGCAATGATAGCCACTTCTTAAGTTTCATAATCCTAATTTATTTGTGCATCATTAAATATGTACCAAGCTTGAATAGTCTACAGATGACCCATCATTTCATTGTTTGCATAATATTAGAGATGTAGATAGGATTAATGGATTACGGCAAACAAAATAAACGCATAACCTAAATCCATAGGAAATTCTGTTGTTATTCAGTTTCTGCATTCTTTTAGCAGTCAACCAAGCAATCAGTTTCGTTCTCATTTCATTAAATCAAGCACAGAAGTTAAGATTACATCTAGGACGAAACAAGAATGAACCCATAGTTATCACGTACTGACAACAGCTGGGGAACCACTGGGAACCACTGAGAACGTTGGACAGCTGTTTCATCTCAGTATGTTACTCCTCAGCGGCGCGCGCCCATGACCCTACCAGGGATCGAACTAATGAGCTTTAGGTTTCACAGCAAAGGCGTTCAGTATTCAGCCCGTGGGTTGGAGTTCAGTGGTCCACCGTTTCTTATTTCTGTCAGTTTGTGACATAGAGTAACTATCCATTAAAGTTTCCAACTGGCACGCACCTCACTTCCGACTGGTCGACTCCACTGGGCACGGTTTCACATAAAAACCTCGAGATATCCATCTCGAGGCATGTTAGCGATGAGCATTATATAGTAATGTAGTTCAAGGCTTATAGGGATTTTATTTATAGTATGGATTCACTACGGACTAACATCATCTGGAGAACCAATGAATACCTCAGAGAACTGGATTGCTTTTTCATCTCAGTGTATGACTCTTCAGCAGGGCGAGGCCTACTATTCCGCAAGTGGTAAGATCAAGGACAGGTAAATGTTACAGTGAGCACGTTACTAGTCAGTCATAGGGGTGGATTAAAATGACTTAAGTTTTCTTGATCTTGTCGATTAGAGATATAGCATAGCGGTAATGCAGTGCCACAGCCGAGTTAGTTGACCTCACTGACCATGACCTTTAATCGGTGAATATTAATTCAATTAGAAGATTGACTGACTGGTTTCAAGATACTACTACAGCCTAATACAACTCAATGAATGACACAGTAATACATTAATATACTGACACATATTGAATAAATTAACTTACTGCTTATAGAATTATTAAAATTTTCAATTGTGTTTATCAGTTGTCCCTCATCATCCCAAACTTTTACATATCTGTCAAAGCTTCCACTTATAACTAAGTTTTGATTACTACATACATTGTACGCTTTAACTAGACAAGATATAATACCATTATGCGCTCTTGAATTCTTCAATAAAACTCTAGTTTTTGATTCCAGTTTACCACTTGTATCATAAACAACAATTTGACCATCAAATCTATATAATTTTATGAAGAGAACAATATAGAGAGAAAGCTTTAAAACTTGTAGCAATTTATGTAAAATATAAGAAGATTGAAGTATTCTTATATTATCAGTTTTGAATAGTAATATGCATTAACTCTGGATATCGATAAAGGTAAATGTAAACTAAGATAATTAGAGTGGTCCAATTGAATATTGAACTACCGGAAATATCCGACGGGATTTGCTTCTTTTCAACCTTTAAAATATGTCCATCTACTATCAACTATGATATTCCTGATTTAAGTGAACTGGATCATGCGACAAACAGTGAGGAGCGAGAAGAGGGGGATACACTAGACTGGGGAAAAGATCCAGAAGATTTGGATTTCACCGATGACTTGTGTCCAATGTCACACAAAATCGAAGATCTACAGGTGAAAACTAACAAGTTGACAGAAGAGGCAGGGCGAGGCAGCGAAAGAAGACGAAGGTGATGAAGATACCCAACCAACGACAACAAAAAACAAACACCAATCACCATGAACGGAAGAAATCTAAAGGAAGTACTCTAGGCGAGGTAGCATCGTTTCAACTACAGGGGGCGGCGGCACAGTAGAGGACATCAAAGCCAGGATCAGAAATACAGCAAGACAGACCTTCCTTGAGTAACCTGAAACCAGTGTTGAGATCTTCTGCACTCCACTCAGCACAAAGCGTGAACAACGTCCGTATTTTCAACAGAAATGTCAATCAAGTCAGTGCTTCTATATGGTTCAGAAACTTGGCGCTTTACGAAAAGCATTTCCGACAAACTAAAGATATTCATCAACAACTGCCGCCTACGCTGGCTCGATGCTGAAGATCAGATGGCCAGAAAGAGTAAGAAACAAGGAACTCACTCTGACTGGCAACAAACCAACCAACAACCTATCACTCGACAAATATGCAGTAGGAGAAAGTGGAGATAGATGGGATTGGGCATACACTGAGGAGATCTACTGGGGACATCACGTATCAGGCCAGGCATCTGTGTGGAACCCAGATGGGAAACGACGAGTTGGGCGTTCGAGGTGAGGGTGACATGAAGGAGATGATGTGAGAAGAAATGAAAGTTTCTGGGCTGTCGTGGAGCCAAGTTCAAAAGTTTACAGAAAAGAGAGTGGAAATGAGACGTGCTACTGAAGCTATATGTTTTACTAGAAACACAAGGGACAAATAATACTGATAATCATCCAGTAAGTTAAACTATGTCACTGTACTATATCAAATGAACAATCTGACATGCAGATTGAAATTTTGTTAAACAAGTTAACAAGATAATAAATTATATCAGTGTGACAGAAAATTGTTTATACTTATTAGCTTACCCTCCTGAAAAGAGACGATTTTCAAAGTTGACCAGACAACGTACCACATCAATATGCTCTTGTAATTGTCTTTTTGTATAAACATTTAAAAATTTTCCTGATGAACGATCTTAAATGGTAAAAGAGAAATTCATATCTGTTGTCAATCGATGAATGATAAAAACAAGGACTGATTTTGTTTCATATTTTATATTCCATATACATTTCAGTTTATCAAACCTTTCATGTTCATGATAATTATGATATCTAACGGTTTCAATAAACAAGACCATTGTTGTTCATAAAAAAAGATATCAGCCACATTATTATTATTATTATTATAAATAAGGCATTTTAACAGAGGTTGTTTCCCACTTGTTTAACCTGTAAAGAACCCAGCGAACAGTTAGTTTATCATTGACTAGTCATGGAGGAGTCACCAGTTCCTTCGTGGTTGTAGATACACCTTCTTGAAAAGTTCCAACAAGCAGAAAGCATAAGTCCACGGTTTCCTATGGATTGCTTCTAAACATTTAACATTGAAGTGAATAGCGATGATGAATTTTTTAGTCTGGTAGCCTTGGTAATCTTGGAAAGTGGTTGATAAAACTCTGTTAGCAATCATGATTAGAAAATATGAAGTAGGTAACTCTCCATTGACACAACAATGTATCTAATTCAGCCTTACAGGAGGTTAATCTTGACTAGAATAGCTCAATGTTAACATCTTCATCTGCACCACTAGATGATACGGGTTCGAATCTTCAAAGAAACATCAGTCCCCTAGAGTTTACAGATACGTCTTGCTGATAAGTGCCAACAAGCGTGAAACTAAAGTAAAGGTCTTCCTATGAGAATAGTTATTCTTTTGCCTACATTAGTACTTTTGAAGCATGAATCAAATTATTAGTAAGGATTTAGTTCATAGTTTATCAAATTAACTGACTTCAGTAATAACCGAAACAAGCTAAAACAATCTTTTTAAAGTAGAATTAACGGAAATCTGAAGATACAGTCATATACCAAATGATGTTGGTCTTCTTGGTTCAACTCACTTCAGAATTGTTTTATTACAACTAAATTAATTTCTGTTAATACTTGTAGTACACCATCTTGGCACCAAAATACAACTAGGACTAAAATAAATAGATCAAATTAAATTATCTAAATAAACCTCTAGCTCACCTCAGGATATTTAGGATGTTTTAAATTTTCTTTTAAGGAATGTGTATTTGAACAATCTTTGACACCATTTTGCACTCATCCTCAAAGTGTCAAGCTGGGTTGTATTAGACAGATAAGTCGAATAAACTTCTCCGTTAATAGTCACTATCATCTTTATTCTAATTGAATATATATATTACTTCTTCGAATATATTCCTGAAACCAGTTCTTTTGATTTGTATTTCGTTATCAGTACTTACACATTAGGTAGGGTACTGGTTAACCAGTTACTGGAGAATATCAAGTTAAGTAGGGTTGATTAAACGTTACGTAAAAGTAACAAAACCAGTTCCTTATATACTCATGAACAATCGAAAAATTTTAAGAAAGTAAATATCATCCTCCGAAATTAAACAGATCAACACTACTGACTGAAAGCCAATAGCTGAAATTATATTTCAGATTATTATCAGTATTATTTCCCCTTGGGTTTATAGTGGAACATAGGGATTCAGTTGCACGCCTACATTCAACTCTATTCCCTGCAGTCTTCAAAACCTGACGCCATAACAGCCCATAACCTTTCATTTCTTCCTCACATCATCTCCTCCATGTCACCCTCACCTCGGACGCCAAATTAGTCGTTTCCCCCACGGATTCCACTCGACGATCTGACCTGGCGTGTGATGTCCCCAATCGGCCTCCACGGTATATGCTCAACCCACCTCCATTTTCTTCTACATATTTGTTGGGCGATAGGTTCTCGGCTGGTTCGTTGCCAACCACAGTGAGTTCCTTGTTGCTTATTGCCATTATTTTGATCACCTCAGCTTCAGTAACGAGCCAGCGTAGGCGGCAGCTGTTGGTGAATGTCTGCAGTTTGTTGGAAATGCTACGAGTAACGCGCAGACAAGTTTCTCAACTATCATACAGAAGCACTGATTTGACTGGATTGGTGTTGAAAATCCGGATAGTGTTCAGGCTTTGTGCAGGCTGAGTGGAGTGCAGTAGATCTCCACACTGATTTCTGGTTAATGAAAGCCTTTCTTGCTATCTTTCCGATCCTGGTTTTGATATCCTCGTCTGTGCCTGTGTCACCGTTGCCTGTAGTTGAAACGATGCTGCTACGTAGGTAAAGGAGACAATGTCCTTTGGATTCCTTCCGTTGATGGTGATTGGTGCCTCTTGTTGTTGTGGTGGTGGTTGGTGGTTGGTTATCTTCATCACCTGCGTCTTCTCTACATACACTTCAAGTCCCAGCTTCCTACACTGCCTCGCCCCACCTCTCCTGTCAACTTGGTAGTTTTCGCTTATAGGCCATTGAGTTTGTACAACAAGACATAAGACATAAACCATCATCATCATCATCATCATCATCATCATCATCATCATCATCATCATCATCGGCGGCGAAATCCAAATCTCATAGACTCTTTTCATCCATCCACTCAGCGTATGCCCGTCTTCGGTTCGCTGCATGATCCGGTCCACCACAATCACGAAGATCATTGGTGATGATAGTAGGTAGCAAACTTGTCTTACTCCTCTCTTCACTTCAAAGGCGTCAATCAGCTTCCCATTGTCGATCACTTGGTATATGGCCTGTTAACATAGTTGTTGAATCACGTTGATAAATGTTAGTGGCACTAAAATCATAGTGTTGAAGCAGCTACCTCACAAATTACTTGTCGGTCGACGCTGTTCAAGGCCTTTTCAAAGTCGATGAATTTGAGGTTGAGGTTGAGTTGACTGATATTCTATACTCTGTTATATGATGATGCATAGCGTAACATTGCAATTTGATGCTCACATGATTTGTTTTTCCTGAAGCCAACCAGCCAGTCAAACAGCCTGTTCGGGTGGCAGTTTTGAGTCTAGAGCACCTTTAGTCTCTCCAGGATGATGAGGCGTAATATTTTGCTTGGGGGTGGGGGTGGACAGTGACATGAGCATGATTCCGCGCCAGTTCTTGCAGAGACATAGATCTCCCTTCTGTGGGAATTCGACTAGGTACTCTTTCTTCCAATCTGCTGAGGTTACAAAGATTTATCTGTGAATAATCTAAATTCTCTATGTGAATACTTTACCGAAATTCAGAGGTTTAAGAGAAACAAGCAACAACTGATGTAAATGAAACAAAATAGAGCATAATATGGAATTTTAAATCAAAAAATTTCTGCCATTCTTACCGATAAGTGTGAATATATTTTGTACTTTGTTACTAGACTCCTGTTGTGTACCCTTACAGTTATTCATGACCTGATTGTTGGTGTACTTGTATACTGACAGTCAATATTTTACAAGCAATGGCTATTTTTAATGACAATTTATTCCTTTTTCAACATTCTGTGTGTATCAGAACTTTTAGACACTCTGGATAAAGACTGAAATCATAAATTCCCTTTCATTGTCATCAAAATCTATGCAATTATGTACACTTTCAAAAAAAGCCTTTCATTACGTTTAATTTATTGCCCACCTCTTGATACTTTTTGAAGGCATTTATATTCATATGACAAACTTTAAAATTCTATAAGTTGAAATAAACTGTTAAAATAAACATTTAGTAAAAGCAAACAATATGAGCGAAGAAATATTTCTTCTCAATTAGTTCTTCATCAATCGCACTACACTATTACATATATGTAACACTTTTAAAACGTAAAACTACTTATCAATCTAATGATAAGAATTATTTAATAACAAGTTATCAATCTCAAAGCATCAAGAGGATGATAATTGATCAGGTAATTAAGACAATTAACTAAAGTATAGATTAATTATGTTAGGAAGATTCTGTGAAATCTCAAACAGGTAATTATATAGCCATTTAGTAGGTTATGACTAGCAGAGGAATCCAGGATGCGCTTTTCATCCTATTTGGGACTCATCACCTGGATTCATCTGCACTGCAGTGAGTGATGCTGTTCCCACCAGGACTCGAACCGTGTGCCCATCGCTTCAAACGCCAAGGCGTTATCCACTATGCCACTTCTTGTACATATAATTAATATTTTGTATAATAGTAACTGTAACCTCTCCTAGTTAACTGGTTCACTAGTTACTAGCTGGTCCTAAGCCCGGGTAAAGACGGAAGGTTGGGCGTAGGGCTAGCAAATATGCAGAAGAACACAGTGGAGATGGATTGGATTGGGCATACACTGAGAAGGCGGATTGGAGACATAAAGCACCAGGTCAGGCCGTCGAGTGGAATCCAAATGGGAAATGGCGAGTTGGGGGTCCGTGGTGAGGGTGAAATGGAGGAGGTGATGTGAGGAAGAAATGAGAGCTTGTGGGCAGTCGTGGAGCCAGGTTGAAAAGATTGCAGAGTAGAGAGTGGAATGGAGATGTGTTACTGAAGTTTAATGTTCCATAAAGACCCAAGGGAAAAATAATAATACTAGTAAGCGTCGAGAAAAGAAGCAAGAATGAATTGTTACGTCAAGTGGTAAATTGTTGACGGTAATTAGAGACAGAGGGGGGGAGGGGAGGATAAGGTGGCTAAAACTGTAATGATAATAACAATAACAATAAACGTATTAAAATATTAGTTATCATCACCTGTGGAATGAACTATTCAGATGGCCAAGGCAAAGAAAGACGCTGTTTGAATTTATTCTGAGCACACAGACTTGGCTTGTTTACTTGAATTCCTATGGTTTCTGCTGTATGTTAAAGACGAACTCGTAGGACGCGGGTGAGATTAAAAGGAATATGATAAATAACTTTACGAATATTAACTAGGTGACCAGGATTAATCAGATGAGAGAGTATTGAGCTTCGTATCGATCTGGTTTGACCCATACTTAGCCATGAAGGATGATTCTTGGCGATTCGACGACGGACTTAACTAACTATACGTCCAATATAACTAGCTATATATAAATGTAGAGCTATTGATGAGGAACCAATAATTGAAAAGAAATATTTCTTCGTTCAAATTGTTTGTTTTTTGTATTACTGAAATAATAATTATGACTATTTTTTCTTTAATATATCATAATGCAACATTAATGATAATAGTGTAAACATACGTCTGTCAATTGAAAATATTATTAATCCATCACTTGTCCCACAAATAAATTCCTTTAAGTTATCAACAATCAAAGAATTATATACCGCACGATATATCTAAAAACAAGGGAATAAAACTCTGAAAATATAATAAAGTGTAAAATAAAACAACTCAGATAAAAAGAATAAAGACATAAAGGTAATTTATTCAGGCAGATTACATCACTAATATTCCATCTTTCTTGAATTATAACTTCTATCTTTGACTGTATACTTGATTTCTTGTATAGATCTCAGTGTGACTTTTCATGTCTTAGGAAAACTTTATTTTTAAATATATACTGACCAACGATAGACTAAATATTAATTTGGTTGGTTATAGCTAGCAAAAGAATCTGGGACGCGTGTTTCATCCTATTTGGGACTCTTCAGCTGAATGTACCCGTACTCCAGTGGGTGATATTGTTCCCACTGAGACTCAAACCTCGTACTCATCGCTTCAAATGCCAAGGTTTTATACACTATGCCACAGAAGTATGATAGCGACTTCTTGTACAACAGGTATTAGTTATTAGTGTATATTGATAAGCTTATAACTCTCCTTCTTGGATTCCTCTGCTAGCCACAACCAACCAAACTAATATAATTAACATTTAGGCGATGTCGAAGCCTCCGCATAGGAGTTCGTCTGCCAGTAAATTCGATTTAATAAAACAACGGAGAATTACAAGCTTGTCAATAGATAGTGATAGACGAGATGGTTTTGAAAAACTTTGGGTATTAAGTTAGTATATGATTCGTCGTTTAACTTAAAAACTTAATATTACTCGGTTTCATACTTTTGAAAAGGTACCCAAGATACATAAATCTGGAATGTCTATACACCCAATGTTAAATGTGTCAAGATCTTACTATCATTTAGTCATAAACTGGAATAAACCAAGCAGGTTTCAGATAGACCTAGATGAAGGTGCATTGATTATACTTGTACACTACGGCAGGTACTGGAATACAGGCATACTTAATGACCAATGGCCAATACTTGGAATATTTAAAACAATTATTCCCTCTAATAAATTTCGATAACGCTATTAGAAGACGAAGATTATCTGAAAAATGTGTTTACCAATTTATATGTATGTGTGGGCACACATACATAGGGAGGAGTAGTCGTTCAATGCAGACTAGGGTGGGTGAACACTTACCTAAATGGCTAGAAAAACACACAAACTTTGATAAGCGCAGGTGACAGACATCCATCGTCATCTATGGCAAAACATCTTCATTGAAATGAATCACAGGGTTAATACGGAAACAGCCTTCCAGATGTTATACAGGAATAATCATGGAAGCATACTGAAGTTTACCGAAGTGTTATCCATTCGTAAACTTAAGCCCGCACTGTGCATACAAAAACAATTTGTTGTTTCACTTAATTTACCTTGATAATCCTTATCTGATTATATTACCAAGACTAGTGACACAACCTTTTCATATTCATTATACTTGACCTTTCATTTCCGTATATAAATTGACTTGAGACAAGTAATTGTGTGGAGGATCATATTGTTCGAAATGTATTGAGCAAATATATCACACATATTTTTCAGATAATCTTCGTCTTCTAATAGGGTTATCGAAACCTGGAATATTTCTTGACCTGAAGGCGACATTTGACTCAGTCAAAGATGAGGTGTTGTGACAGTGTCTGACTGTGAAGAGAGTATCGAGAAAGTATATAACGCTAATCAAAACTGTCTAATCAGACCCAAACAGCTGTATTAGGGCTTACGGAGATTTGTCCTCAAAACTGATGACAACTAGTGGTGCACGTTGGGGATGTCAACTGCCATCCTTCCTACTTAATTTCGTCATACCAACGGACATAACCTTAGTTACGCCTGACTTTATAGGGATTAACCTACTCCGTGGAGGTCGTCTGGTTGACTTGAAGTATGCAGACGATATTGTCCTGTTGGGCGAAAACGCTGATGCAATGCGGGGACTTCTGAATGCGATGGGCAGAAATCTAAGTGTGTTTTTGCATGCACTTCGCTGGCATCTATCAAAAGTTAGACTGTACTCCACAAGTGGAGTGCTGCAAGTACTCCCAGTTTAATGATAGGGAGTAAAGTGGTGGAATACGACTACCTCTTCGCTTACTTAGGGAGTTGCACCAGTCTGAACGAGGTGGTTGCTGATGAAATCTCAGCTCGGACACAAACGACCATCATCTGTATCACCAACTTCCGAGATATCCAACTTCCGGTCAAAGTACGAGAATACTACACTGCAGTTAGTTGTGTACTTGTGCACAGTTGTGAGACATGGCCGTTGAAAGTGGAAAATATGAAGAGATTACAGATTTTCGAATGCAGATATCTTCATAACATTTTTCGTATATGATATCACTATGTGAATAGTGTCCAGGTTAACGCTACTTTCATGAATACCTCCATTATATTCTTCTGTTCTTATTTCTGTACAGTTTAGGAGATGTTTACCCTACTGATTAAATTAGGTGTTGATTTGTTGAACACAACTCACTATTATAACAATTCGTCAAAAACAAACATAAATAGACAATAATTTAAGAATTTACTATTCACATGAATGCACAATTTTCGAAAATGAATTCATTAGAAAAGATTTTCTTTACCGAACTATTGAACATGTATTTATCGAAGAAAGTTTCATTCGTATCTCATACTTTATAGTGAAAACATTATAACTTGTTAAATAGCTTCGACTATATAACTTCAGCATTTCAGTCAAATTAACCGTAAACTACATATGAAAGTTTAGTAATGATGGGCAGTGGTTAGCAGTGGAATCCAGGATGCGCATTTCGTCCTGTTTGGGACTCGTCAGCTGGATGTACCTGCAATATCGAGGCATCCGCATACGAGCCCATATGCCAACACAGACTGATAAATTCGGTCCAATCAACGGCAGTGTAATACAAGCAATAACGCTAGATATAAAAGTGTTCTTCTATAACATGAATTGTGAACATATATACCATTAAAAATTATCAACGTTTGTAAAACTTGTTCGTTTCACATCAGTCTATAAATGAGGTTTTGTTTTAAAAGAATAGTACATATATGTAGGTGGATCTGGAGGTTGCGATTTCAGGTTTACCTTTCAGAACAAGTGATATTATTATTATTATTTTACTTGCCCCTTGGGTTCCTAGTGGAACATTCGGCTTCAGTTACACGCCTACATTCCACTCTATTCCCTGCAACCATTTCAAGCTGTCTCCACGACACCCCACAAGCTTTTATTTCTTCCTCAGACAATCTCCTCCATGTCATCCTCACCTCGCACATCCAACTCATCGTTTTTCCTTTGGATTCCACTCGACAGCCTGACCTGGCACATGATGTCTCCGAGAGTTCTTTGTTGCTTATTCTCATTATTCTGGCCATCTGAGCTTCAGTGTCAGTATCGAGGGTAGGCAGTTATTGAAGAATATCTGTAGTTTGTTGAAAATGCTTTTTGTAACGCAACAAGTTTCTGAACCATATAGAAGGACCGACCTGACTGAATTGGTGTTGAAAATCCGGATCTTGTTCATGCTTTGTGCTGAGTGCAGTAGATCTCCATACTGGTTTCAGGTTAATAAAAGCCTGTCTTGCTGTCTTTCCGATTCTGGCCCCTCTGACGTCCTCCACTGTGCCACCGCAACCGCCTGTAGTTGAAACGATGCTGCCTCGCCTAGATAGGTGAAAGAGGCTACTTCCTTTAAGTTTCTTCCATTGGTGGTGACTGAAGCTTGTTGCTGGTGTTGGTGGCATTAGTTGGACATATGGTGGCTAAATCTGTGGCATCTACGATGATATAATCACTTGAACTATCTTGTCATAATCACACAAACAGTGCCTACGAAAATAATAGGCGATTCAATAAAGTCATTCTTATATCAGAACACTTCAGTCAAGAACAAGGATACTTTAGAATTAATGATTACATTCCTTTTTAGAGTCTCTGCTTGTTTCACTTTCTACACATAGGACTACTGATGTTATTTTATGACTTTTATTATTTCATGAATGAATGATGGACTTGATTACCTAGACTCATTTATTTGCTTTGGTCTTTTATGTGACACAAAATATAGTTTGAATCCAAGTAGTTTCTCAAGAATATGCTCATTTGTAACAGAGAAAGACTAATGTTGCATAAATCCGAACAGTTATATGGTCTAAGTTATTAGAAGTAAACAATTAAGGAAATATTATTTTCATCCAAATCAATATTATATGACTTCTCGACATATATTACACGTTTTTCGATACATTTTCATGTTATTCAGTTGTTCGTTTTACTGAAGTACACAATGATACGTAGTTTTAGATCCACTGACCTGAAACTCATTTGATCAATAACGAAGTAGTCCTGCGATCATCGAGTTGCCAAGGATCTTTGTTGTTGAAGTCAAAAGTGTAAACAGTGAGAGTAGAAACTCACTATTCAGCTTCAGAATTAACTGTATGACCAATATTTTTCTCAAACAACTATTATTGTTATTTTTCCACCAAGAACAGATAAATTTTTGTATAATCATATGTAATTATGTAACCTATAAATACTGGATTAACATTATAGCTAAAGATATATAAAACCTATCATTTTTGCTGATTTCCTTGGAATACTCTTTTAATAGGTTCATCTTTTGGGCCTAGACTGTTCATTCACTCCTACTTATCTGGAATAAGACTCTTGTCAAGATGATGTATAAGTTCCTAATTAGGTGAGCCAATTCATATCACTTTGGACAAACTAAGAAGTAAGAAATTTGCAACTTAAAATGATATATATTATTTCACTAATACTCTTCAGCTGGATTTATTATTTTTCCCTTGGGTTCCTAGTGGAACATAGGGCTTCAGTAGCTCGCCTCTGTTGCACTCACCATCATCTTCATCACCTGCGTCTTCTCTACATTCACTTCAAGTCCCAGCTTCCTACACTGCCTCGCCCCACCTCTTCTGTCAACTTGATAGTTTTCGCTTATAGGCCATTCAGTTTGTACAACAAGACATTAGACATAAACCATCATCATCATCATCATCATCGGAGGCGAAATCCAAATCTCATAGACTCTTTTCATCCATCCACTCAGCGTATGCCCGTCTTCGGTTCGCTGCATGATCCGGTCCACCACAATCACGAAGATCATCGATGATGATAGTAGGTAGCAAACTTGTCTTACTCCTGTCTCCTCTCTTCACTTCAAAGGCGTCAATCAGCTTCCCACTGTCGATCACTTGGTATATGGCGTGTTAACATAGTTGTTGAATCACGTTGATAAATGTTAGTGGCACTAAAATCATAGTGTTGAAGCAGCTACCTCACAAATTACTTGTCGGTCGACGCTGTTCAAGGCCTTTTCAAAGTCGATGAATTTGAGGTTGAGGTTGAGTTGACTGGTATTTTATACTCTGTTATATGATGATGCATAGCGTAGCATTGCAATTTGATGCTCACATGATTTGTTCTTCCTGAAGCCAACCAGCCAGCCAAACAGCCTGTTCGGGTGGCAGTTATGAGTCTAGAGCACCTTTAGTCTCTCCAGGATGATGAGGCCTAACATTTTGTTTGGAGGAATTCCATCTGGTCCTGCTGCTTTCCCAGATTTTAGCAGTTTTATAGCATTCAGGGCTTCTGCTTTTGTCAGAGGGCATATTTTCACTGGTAGTTTTGAGGTTGCTGGTAGTATTTGTGAACGAGCTGCAGGCGATGGTCTATTCGAGAGATTTTTGAAGTGGCCAGACCATCGTTTCCTTTGTTTCTTTTTTTTAGTACTAGATTTCCTTCACTATCCTTCACTGGTTTCATCTGCGTTGATCTCTTCCCTACCAGATAGCAACCTGATTATTTGATACAATGTTGTCAGGTCTGTGTCTCTCCCTAATATAAGTGTAAAACTCGGGCACTGTGGTAGAATGTAATTCCATATTAGATTTGTTTATTTGGCATATAGCACACAGTGATACAGCATTATTTACTTGATTACGTTTCGAGCATAAATTATTGCTCATAATCATATCAATGTAATCACACTTCTTTCGATATCTGATTTCATAGTCCTTTCACCTGATTTTTCTTTGTTTTTTTGATTGGTAGTAAAGTTTTCCATATCTCTGGTATAGGTGTATAGGCCAAATAACTAATATGGTACGAAGTTGTACAGTTTGGGATAATTTTGAAGGCTGTTTACAGACTTTGAAGACTGTATATTTTTAGAGTAGTCTCTATACTTTACATGAAAATCGATCTGAAATCGAAACCATCTACCATTCGCATTTGTTATATTGTAACTCAAGGTATATGATATGGAGAGTTCCCTTTAATTTCCAGAAATTCGTGAGAAAAATTTGTGCGATATTTGTAATTTTAAATCTCAAAATGCTGTAACTATAAACTTTAATCATGTTAACAGATCTAGTGATAATAAGGAAATGGAAGCAGGCAGCATGCTGGTGGGTGGTAGGTTTACTAACTGACAGCAGTGAAAACATTTTGATAGAAATTCAGTGAGTGTTGTTGGAACTTCGGGTGACTGAACGCACCAGCTACTGAGACGGCACTGAAACAGACAGATTAAGAAGCTGACCATGTATGGGGTGATGTAAACGTCCATCAGAGATTCATACTTAACAAAATCATGCACGTTATCAACCAATCTATTTTATTATCAAGCCACATAATATAATGAGCAACTGCACTTGTAATTTACTTAAGCTAAGAAAACACTAGTCGGTCAAACGTAAAACGAATGCAGGTGAAAACGCATATAGACGATTTAAATGGGCAAGAAACACACACACACACACAAAGATAATGGCAGCCAATCGGCAACTACACCAATTACGGTTAACAGACATGTTTTCCTCAGACCAAAAAAGTCTTTTTCACTAAGCTGCATAGTTCCGATAGGCTAAATCTGGAGTCTCTCAACTGCCACGACCCAATGGGGTTTCTAGTTGTAACAATGAAACATCTGATCAGTATTTGCAAATTCTCTCATCATTGACCACTTACTCAGAAATTTATGAATATCCCACGAACAAAGTAGGGATCTTGGTCACTGACTTTGGGGTTCAGCTAATACAGTGAAAACTGGTACTTCTCACGAAAGATGCCTCTCCAGAACCGGAGAAAACTCAAGCAACAGTTCTTGTGGAAAGTGCATCAATGTTAGCTGAACCTTTAGGTAAGTTATCAAAGGATTCCCTTAGTCACGGGGAAATACTGGATTATTGGGAGTTTAGCTACACCACCAATCTCCAAAAGGGATCAACTAATCAACCAGAAAAAATACAACCCTTTGATGCCCTTATTCCTACCCTCCAAAGTAGTGCAGCTTTAAATTTATGATGAACTGAGAGATCACTTTATAACGATCAACTTTGCACTCCAGAGTCACGGATTTAGAAAAGGGGAACTTCTACGTTGCTAACCTCCTTACTGCAATCGATGAAAAGACTAGCATTGCCGACCATCGAGGTCGAATTTGTTATTTATCTAGAATTTGACAAGGCGTTTGGTTTTTAATAGCGACCGCCGAACTGACAGATTAAAACTCACCGACGGGTTGTCGTCATGTCAACATGGTCGCTTATCCGAGTGCGTTTTCCCTCATCTAAAGGAAGGGAATGTCTTGATGAAGTTCTCCAGGAAACGCTACTGGGAGCTCTCCTTTCTCCAACTTGAATGAACGACTTATCTCGACTTGTATGTCATGATATTCTTCGTTTTCCCCAGAAAAATCAGAAGTCAGGAATATAGTGTCTCTCTACAAAAAGACTAGACTCAACTTTAAGACTGGGTAATCAATAATTAGTCTTAGTTAAACCCTGGAGGAATTCAAGGTCCTACACCCGAGACATAAGCCACATCAAGTACATAGGCTGAACCGCAGGGAGCTGGAAACATCACCTGTGGAGAATGATCTAGGCGTTTAAGTACCTCAATACTTAGAATTTCGTGACAATTGTGACAGAAACGCCTTGCATGAGAACTTGGCGTTAGTACCTCGCATGAAATTTCAGATATCTCGACGGCAATACTTTAACTGAATTTTTTAAGGCTTAAAAGAGCCCCACCTGGAGTTCGGAACTATAGACTTCTTTTCTTCTCTGCTGAAGGATAAGTTAAGCTTAGAAGGCGTCCAAAAGCGGTCAACTAAATCCTTTCCAGGATTTGAGTCTGAAAGGTAAAAAGGACGATTAGCTGCCATTGATCTACATCATTTAAGATATACAAAACCAAGGGAAGACTTGAAGATCACTGACAATATATCAAACACCCTTGAGCACCCACTCCGTCACTTACTGTGCCTTCGTGGTAACACCAATCTCATGGGACACACAGAGAAACTAGATCTAGAAATCGTATACAACCTCTACTATATAACAGTTATTTAGTCCTTGACGCTCTTCACGTGAAAGTGGTTCAAAGTGCTTCGTCTAAATCATTTAAATGCTGATTTGACATATACTCAAGATATGAGTGGAAACCAACTCATAATCGACTCAATTTTCATGTGTTAACTGCCATTTCCCCCCTCCTCTATTCTTCTTTACACACGCAAACAACCATCAAAACTGGCAATCCGTGGATTCTAGGCACGAAAGTTAAAGTGACAGCTTTGAACTTACGCAATAAGTTTCAAAGAGAAGGTTGATCTTTGGGAGTTCCCCACAGTTATGGTCATCACAAATATGCCCATTCAGTCTAATAATGATGAGATGGAGGGCCAAAAATCAACTGTTGTGACCAAAAATCCAATGAGATCGCATACGGCATGTAGTATAATAAAGACGGTGATAGAGACTTCACTGAATGTTTAAAAGGTTAAATAGGGTAAAAGTGACGTGAACTGCAGACATAAAGAAAGTCTTTAAGATCTGCATGTTTATGTTAAAATGATTAAATGTGAATGCAAATATCAATGAATTACGTACATTATACCAGTCTATCAAAAGTAAACCTTGCCAAAATGCAATGAGACCTTCATGGCTGGTAGTTATGACAGTTTTCGTCTTTTCCCTTGGATTAAAATGTATGGAGGGGACAAGATGTTTCTTACCAATAATATATTGAAGTAATCCATGACATATGAATGTTGAGGTTTTTAACCTTTCTACCAGTAATAACATCCCAGTAAGCGATTCCACCATCTGAACTTAGCAAACCAAAATAAGAACTGACCCTCAAACCCAGTTATCACTTCTTTTCGCGATGGATCAAAAGATAGTGCAGTGACAGAAGAAGTACTACTCAATTTGATTTGTGAGTTATAATCCATTACGCATTTCGAAAGAGAACATGAAAATCTCAAGGTCTATAAGGCTTAAAACAAAAGCGACTTTATGAGGAATATGCATAGTAGGAAGGTGATGTATAGCAGAAGTTATGTTTCCCAACGTAATGAAAATCTTTTGCTGCCCAAATCATTTCAAACAGGAGATAGTAGTCAGCATTTTGCGTTGGGTCTCACCAATTTCACAGAAGAATAGGAAAATATTTCCAAGTGGTTTTCAGTGGTTGATGATCCATAATCAGAATCTTCTTTCAAAGATAAAAAGCGATGAGTGTATATTGTTATTTTTGGAGTACATCTTTTCTTGTCCAGTTCTCTCTGGATCTAGCCAACAGTTGTGAGGTGGAATTCAACATCAAACGAGGATCTGCGGCTTGTGGACAGTGCTATATTTTGGATCTAATTTACGATATGTAAACAGGGGGGAACGTATCACCTGTTATCCCAGTTGAGGTCTTCCGTAAGGCCCAAAGTATCCTAATGCCATGAGCTGAAACCGGTCATCGGTGCTCTGTAGTCTTCGCATACCAGTAGACAAAGGCACACAATAAGACGGGGTAGAGCGACATCACTAAAAACTAACCCACTTGTGTCGAGAGAGATATTGTCTACGAATCTTTTTTCATTGGATCAATATCATGTACATGAGGTAGGAATGATTCTCAACCTATTCCAGCGCTTTGTCTTTAGCATCACATTCAATACTGTCTTCCAGCGGAAGAGTTGGGAATTTTTCCCTACCTTTTATCACTCACCAGCAAAAAGCCCTTTGATCTACGCGAGTGGACTGTTATTGACCTTTAAACTTCTCAGTTTCAAAGCAACCTTCAACACACTGCTTTGCCAAACGCCTTACTGAACTTTGCAAAAGTAACGCCATGGCATAATCATGTTTAACCTGAAATTCTCTGATTGCAAAGCTTTTCCGGCCTGGGTAACTCCTGCGACAGCCATAGTGCTGAAAGTGGGGTACAGTGTTGCTCTTTATTCAAACCATGATGGCTTTCTCGGTTACTCTCTCCAGGATGTTAGCGAAAGTACCGGTCAGGCTTATCGGTGTGGCAGAACTCTCTTTGTGAACGGGTGTAGCTAGAGCACCCTTCCATTCCAGAAGATGTGAACGCTTACTAAGGGACAGTCTTAATATGGCAGTCAATGAACAGCACGCGTGGGGAGTGGGCTGTCTAGGCAGCCTCGTGTGCGGCCGATAAAGTGGAGGAATGGAGAAACTTTCGCTTTCCTTGTTTCTGCGTCCGAAAACACTGCATCAATGTTTTGTATATCTGAGAGTCAAGGCATTAAGGCAAATAACTGGCCAAAGAAAGGACGATCCGTCTGTGACTCAGTCTTCCGGCTCCCTTTATGGACTGTAGTGTACATCGGGTTCAGTTTGAAAGGATCCCTATGATGTAGCCTGCGCATATGCGTCGAGGTCAGTATTTTAATCCCCGAAAGCTCAAGAGCAACAGTCACGCTTGATTTACATCTTGCCATGATAACGGTGGACAGGTATGCAATATTCCAGGGGGTCCTGAATCCTACAGGATGAAAGGGATTAAACCGTATTATGGTATCGAAGGTGTCTGTGAGTTACCAAACAAAACGATATAGTACCACCTTGCAGTACATACACGTCGTTTACGAGTTCTGATCATTTTCACCTCTTTTTATGAATGGGTCGCATCGAGGTGGAGCAATATTAGATGGTTGCGTTACAAGTTGCTGACATGTTTGACCCCTCCGTATAGCTCCATGTTTCGTCAGATAACACCTATCCCAACATCAGTTCACATATTTGTAGCGTAATTTGCTCGCCTCCATGATTTCAAGTATCAGTAAGTATCCACACAATCATGCTACCCAGGCGAATATCTAAATTCAAACGGTTCCCACCTTCGTGCCACCGTACACAACAATAAAGATTTATTCTGCTATAAGCAGTCACTGTGGCAGAAATGAATAGGGGTTGGAAGAAATACTGCCTGATGGTGGTGGATTTTTGCACGGAATGCACATTGAAGCAGGCAGGATTATGAGGGAGGTATACCAACTTTAATTGTCTTCCACTATGTGCCATGGAGTGAGATAAGTACTGAAGAAGTTCGTTTCGCAGTACTGTTGCAAATATGTTGCCTTCAGAGCTACTGGTGAATTTATCTCTTAGACTTAATCGTCCATAATGGAGTGAGTTATGAGAATATATTCTAGTCGGGATGCCTTATCGTCAAACCCTTAGCAAGTACACTGAGAGACATATTCAATCACAGAGTTTTCTGGCAATCATTCCTGAAGATCTCTTAGATCAGCAGATTGACTTTCGGCGGTAAACAGTTGAGGGAAGTTAAAATCTCCCACAATAAAAACCTATAGAAAGTTCAATTCCAGAGCTCCTCTAACGGATTGCACCAACATCTTTAACGTGGCACTCGCTCCAGTAGGGTGGGATGAGACTTCGACCAAACACGGGCCTCCATAGCACTCGATGCTGCACCAGAGGATATCTTCAGTGCCAATTCTATGTGCTCGTATCACACTGAGTCTCAAGAAAAAACAGTCGTAAAGACCAGCGGCACTTCCTGGACCCTCCAATCTACCCTTACAGATTGGGCTGAGCTGTCTTAAAGGAACTTTCTTATCTTTTGTGTTCCCCGTGATCCATGGTTCACAGAAAGCCATTATGCTAGGACCATCCACATCAATTAATAGTCTTTACTCTGGCATCTTGGAGCGCCGGCCACGCACATTACCGTATATACAGCGAATGAGAGTATGAAGGCCGGAGGTAAAGGAAGCAGCTTGACTTAAGAATATGCTGCTGGCCCTTAAAGGGCCAGCTTTGACAAGCTTTTTAACAGGGGGAATCAAGGGCTATCAGGTCCACCAATCTGCCAGTGCAGGGTTCCTCGATCTAGGCCACGCCGACAAAAACTACTGGTCGCCGCCCAACCGTTCTATTATTAGAGGTAGGTTGGCCAAAGTCAAACGCTTGAATCGCCTCTCAGTCTGCGTTTGACCCCTTGGTTTACACTCGCTTGTCTTAATTTTGGCAGGGCATGCATAAGATTCATTATACCAGGATCCCAGAGTTGCTCAGGCCATGTCCGGAGAATCAAGGGTTACTTGGAGTATGAATGGTCGAGATGTGAGCCACCCTTGTAAAATGGTTAATTTTTTCGGCCCTCACATCCAACTGGAGTTTGTTGACTATATGTCTCCACTGATTTATGTCGTGCATAAGTTCAGCAGCATCAGTGCCCAAATACTCAGGAACCCTGTGTATGATGACTGGACAGCATAATCCTTCAGAGTGGATTTTCTTGCTATTGCCAAGAAGTTCCCTCTTTGACCAGGGTCTATCAGGCCTAATCCTGAGGCCAGATAGTATTTGCTCCACTAGCTGACGACCTTTCAAGGGGATGTGTTTGGACTGACAAGTACTATCAAGAGACTGTCAAAGGTCTAGGACCGCCTTTGGGGAAGAATTTACCACGCGCTAGGCGCCGTGGAGACGAGCCACGGGCCGGTGATCCTAAACGCTTACAAACATTTTTCCACTCAGCACAAAATTAGCCCAAAAGTCAGGAGCAGTACTAACTAGAAACTACAAGTATGCCAAATGGGAGGAACTGCAACCGTTTCTGTGCTGCCTAGATTGGAGCCCCCACTTTACCGAAAGTTCAGCCGAAGAACTCTGTGATCTATTCTATGAACATATAGGCACAGCTCAAGACTATATTGCTCCACTGCTCCAAAGAGTAATTAGGAAAAACAGAGTTGACTATATACCTAAGAAGGTACACAACCACTTGCGAAACCATGCGACAGAGTACTATAAGTCGAATGACTTTCCATCACCTGACACACCCAAAGACACATACGACACATTCAAGGTGGAAAAAGTACTGGAAGCCGTTAAACAAGAACGCATCCAATGTAGTAAAACTAGTAATACAGAAGCACTAGTGAGACTGATGAAGACTCGGATAAACAGCTCCAGAAATAGTACCCCTAGTTTAATCATGGACAACGGCATCCTCTACGACGACCACTTACAAATCAGCGAGCTGTTCGGTTACCAGTTTGCTAGCTGCTTTACACAAGGGGACGAAATAAAAGTCATTGGTGCACCGTCAACACCAACTCACTCCATAAGTACAGTGCTCTTCTCTAAACAAAACATTTCTCTAGCTATAGCATCACTTCGAACCTCATACAGTGCGGGGCCTGATGGAATTCCAACCATCTTGTTAAAGAGAGGTGGCGAAGATATACCGCTGATTCTCTTGAAGCTCTTTAATACGTCCCTCTCCAGTGGCAATTACCCTGAGAACTGGAAACTATCATACATATGTCCTAAGCATAAATGTGGACCAACATCTAATATAGAAAACTACCGACCTATAAACATCACGTCAGTAGTATCCAGGACTATGGAAAAGGTGATTGTGAAAGCAGTTGTCGACTGCATGATGACAAACCAATTACTCTCACCAGCACAACATGGATTCTTGAAAGGCCGGTCATGCACTACAAGCTATCTTGACTATCTAGACAACGTTACAAGCAAGCGTGACCAAGGCCTATTTGTAACTACCCTTTTCTTAGACTTCAAGCAAGCATTCGATAAGGTGCCTCACAAACGCCTGGTCACTAAGTTGCAATCATATGGTTTCCGAGACCCGTTACTGTCCTGGCTCAGAACATCTTTAGAGGGTCGCTTCCAAGTAGTAAAATTCAGTAATTGCTACTCCACCCCTAGACTTATACAAAGTGGTGTCGTCCAGGGTAGTGTGCTAGGACCGATACTTTTCCTAATCTATGTAAACGATATCTGCAGTGTTATCCGAAATGGCATACCCTACCTTTTCGCTGACGACTTGAAGATAGTCTACAGCTTTTCTCCTGCAGCACTAACACAGGGTTTCTCTCAAATACAAGATCTGAAGAGGATATTCATATGGAGAGAGACCTGGCAGCTCCCTCTAA